TTTAACCAAAAATTCCGAATACATCTGGGCACCAAAAAGGAATGGGAAAGAAAGGGAAATAACTCCCTCAAAAATGGCACCATCCTTTGGTACACAGATGGATCTAGAACACAAGAAGGTACGGGGGCAGGAGTATTTGGACCCGGAACCAAATACTCAGAACCCATGGGAAAACACCAGTATTTTCCAAGCTGAGATTCACGCAATTGAAAGATGTATCCAATTCAATCTAAATAGAGGATACAAAAACAAGAATATAGCTATCATGTCAGATAGCCAAGCAGCCATCAAAGCACTAAGCTCAAATACCATTAGTTCAACGATGGTGTTGAACTGCAAAACCAAATTAAATATATTAGGCTCGCAGAATAAAGTCAGCCTCTGCTGGGTCCCAGGACACATGGGAGTAGAAGGCAACGAGAAAGCGGACACCCTTGCAAGGAAAGGGGCTGCCACACCGCTGATAGGACCCGAACCCTTCTGTGGCATAGGTATCCACACTATTAACGAATATCTCAGACAGAAGGACAAAAAGAAAATGAGTGAACTTTGGAATTCACTTATTGGACATAGACAATCCAAGAATCTTCTAACCAACTTTGGCAAGAAAGAAATCACATAATGTGTCAAAGGAAGCAGGAACAGACTGCGAATCCTAACAGGATTCCTGACAGGACACTGTAGATTAAATGGACATCTAAAGAAAATTGGAATAATCCAAGGTGGTACATGTAGATTCTGCAAGGAAGCAGAAGAGACACCAACACACTTACTAACAAACTGCGGAGCTACATTAGCCCGCAGGAGGAAGTGTTTTGGGATGTACAATGTGACCATAGAAGAGCTTCAACCACTGAAATTAATCAAGTTTCTTGATGAAATAGGACTCACCGATGTGCTTTACGCAGAGCACGGGGGATACAATAGCTCTTAAAGGGCGCAGTATACTATACCCTGAAATTACATCTACATCTTTGCTAATCAAATTCACTTTTTTTACAAATCAAATTTATCTTTTTCAAATTAAATTCAATCTTTTGCTAATCAAATTCAGCATTTTCCAAATCAAGTATTTCTGCATCTATATTATAATTTAAATTGACTAGTTTTCGTGGTCCACTTGACCAATTAATATAATTTAATTAATTAAGGTTTTTAGTTGAGATAAAAAAGCTATCGTGACCTAAGGATAGCTCAAGTGGTAGAGCAGGATAGCCGAAGAGCGTGGGTTCGAATCCCGCTCGTGACACTGACTTTTTTATCTCAACTAAAAACCTTAATTAATTGAATTATATTTTAAGTAGAGCAGCGGCATATCTAGCCGAAGAGCGTGGGTTCGAATCCCGCTCGTGACACTGACTTTTTTATCTCAACTAAAAACCTTAATTAATTGAATTATATTTTAAGTTGATTTAAATAAGTTGATTAGCAAAAGGGTGAATTTAATTTGCAAAAGATTGATTTTAATTTGTAAAATGGGAATTTGATTATCAAAAGGGTAAATTTGGTTTTCAAATGGATTGATTTATTTTGCAAAAAAGATCAATTTGCTTGCAAAAAAAAGGTGACAATATCAAAAAGATTTATATGATTTGAAAAATTTGAATTTGATTACCAAAGGATAACAATAATGTTAATTGCTGTCAGAATGTTAATTCATTAGCAAAACATAAGTTCATAAGCTAAATGGTGAATTAATTTACAAAAGGTTGAATTTGATTGGCAAAAGGGTAAATCTGATTATCAAAAGGGCAAATTTGATTGGCAAATGAATTAATTTAATTTGGATAAGGGTGAATTTTATTGCAAAAGGGTGAATTTAATTTATGTTAATAAAAAAAAATATTTTTTCATGGCAGGTGTATTTAAACGCTTCACCTTTTCACCATCCATCATTTTTTAAACAAATCATTACAAAAGTAGATAATGTTAGAAATTTTTTCTTCCTCATTTGATACCATGTATACATGTTAGAATCTGACATGTCCCCGTTGTAATTATGATTAGATAGCTGGTACGCTCATTAATCTTAATGCAAAAGTCATGCAGGTACTATTTGCCTCCCAGTCTATGTTAAAAATTGAAAATTACCACTACCATCATAATTTCAGAATAACTAATATGTAGTCATTACTCACCATTTGAGGATTGGAAAAAACAACTTGCAGATTGCAAATTACAGTAATTCAAAAAGTGGAATGGTCTATTTATGCGTCTTATCTGCATTTTGGTATACACAGTAATTTTTCGATAAGGTGAAATTAGCATTTTTTTTCTTAAGAGCTTATAAATGAGGCACCGTTCACCAAGCTTTAAAAATCTTAATAAAAAGATACTGAAGGCAGTTAAGTAGAAAGAAAAAAATTGTAGCGAATCCGATAATCTCGTATAGATTTACCTGTTAGGCAATCCCTATCAACTGTGAAGTATGCATTACATAAGTATGAGTTCAAATAAGAGGAAAACTAAAATAGAAAGGAATAGGAAAGTAGATAATTTGCAGAATGTACTTGTACATAATCCATTTGGAACTTTTATGCTACTAACTCACAATAATACAAACTTTCTATTCTTAAAATATTGACAAAGAGTTAATTCTTTGATAATTTTAGCAAAAAAATTGTTCTAACAATGTGGTAAAATTAATATTTTGATACCCTTTCTTCACAAAAATAAAACAGTTTATAATAAATAATTAATGATCACACAATAAAAAGAAGTAAAAGAAATTATTAGTTAATGCAATAGGACTCAAAAGTTAATATTTCAAACAAACTACTTCAATTTTGAGATTTTTGTCGAAACCTTCAAAAATGGCCAAATCACATGCTTACCCTTCTGGCAGGCACAGAACAATTTCCATAACCATTTGGAATTTGGATGAACAATTTCAAACCTTTTTATTTAACTATGTTTATTTACCTTTAACATAATTTTAGATAAGATAGTTTGTCCGTATAAAAAGTGAACATTTTTGACAAAAATAAGGTGGCACCAAGATGTTAGGTGAGGGCCTATGTGGTTAATTTCGATATTAATTAAAGCTTCTAAGTTCATATGAAGTTGATTTATTTATCTTGATACAGTTTATTCTAATTATATTCATCCTTTTGCAAATTAAATTCACACTTTTTGCAAATCAAATTCATCTTTTGCATATCAAATTCATCCTTTTGCTAATCAAATTCACCTTTTGGCAAATTAAATTCAATCTTTTGCTGATCAAATTTACTCTTTTATAAATCAAATTCACTCTTTTGCTAATTGAATTCACCCTTTCACTAATCAAAAATTCATTCTTTTGCTAATCAAATTCACCTTTTTGCAAATTAAATTCATCCTTTCACTAATGATTTAATCTGCAAAAGGGTGATTTTGAATTAAAAATTTAAATTTAAAATATATTTGCTATTTCAATATCGAGAACAAGAATGAACACAGATACATTTCACTAAACTGATATTTCATTAAAATTGATTCAACATTTAAATAAATTAATAAAACAAACGAATAAAACAACAAAAGCAATTTTGCAGAAACAAATTTATTTAATATGATACTCATGAAACAGTGTACACTAGTACAAGTACATTTAGTGTATCTTTTCAGCTACTTATACTACTACTCCCTTCCTTTCATAGAGATTTTCTAAGAATCCACATTTTTATGAAATATTTTGACATGAACACTATTGGAAAGTTATATAAGACAGTGACCGACCACAGATGCAATTTACTTTAACATCACGGTTAATGTGAGTATACACACAACCTCATCTTCATCACTACTTTCTTCTTTTGCCTTTCATCAGGTGAAAAATGAATTGTTCAGTAACTGAATGTATCTTATTATTCCAGAGAGTTTTAATCCTTTCTGATGTCATACCACTTCAAAATTCTTTCTTGAATTAAATAATACAAGTTGTTAACTTTTATTAATGCTGGTGAATCGAGAGAATAAAGTAAAATGAAGGACCTGAATTTAAAAGATGAAATTCAAGCTATGGGCAAATCAATTTCTAATTTTGCTCATAAATCTGTCCCTCTATCAGAGAACACTCAGAAGTAGCATATTCTAGTGTTGAGTGACAGTACACAACCTAGGATTGCTCTCTTCATTATGACAAAACTTTCTGAATATTTAGAGCTCCAAAATCGTTTGAATATTTTTCTCGCCTATGCAAGTTTTCTAGATGTCATTCATTGTTTTACACAATTTAATGCTTTACAGTAGGTCAACGAATCTTTATGCCTAGAGGCCAAGTTTTTGTAAAGGAAAAATTTCAAAATGAACAATTAAAAACCTAAAATAATAATATTAACACGTGCAAACCTTAACTGGCCGTGTTTAAATCAAAATAAATTACAAAAAAAAATCCTTTTGGCTAATGTAATGCACAAATTGGTCAACTTTAGATTTTTTTAAAATGAGCCATTAAAAAAATTGTAATATAAAACGTCCTTTAACCAAGTTCACAAATAAATTTAATAAATGTGAATTATTGTGATAATTCCCATGAGGTCTGTCATTAAAGTTGGCTTATCATTTCTGGTTTGTTTGGTATTTCACCTTCTTCATTGATAACACTACAGGTTCACTACTCGGTAGACCCCATGGAGAACTCACAATGAAAATTGTTTTTTATGTTCATTTGGGAAAATTCAGATCACAAACTAGGCAAATTTCATTGATAACGAAATCTAAACTACTGGGCCATAGATTTTTTTATGGCATTTTACAATTGTCAGAAACAAACGATATTATTTTATGACCAAGGCCTACCAAAGATGACGAAATGGTTAATCGCAACAGACCAACCCAGCAAGGATAATCAGAACAAAATAATCAAAACAATTATAATTAATATTTTTGGTAATTATTGGTTAATAAACATTTTGTTTTAAATATTGAGAAAACAAAATTAAGCAAGCTATGAGGTAATATTTGTTGGAATCACTCTTTCTCAGTGCGCCATTTTCTCCGTTAATTGAAACCCACTATCTTAGCAAACGTTTTATTTCAAGTAGAAATTGGAAAGCTTTTTCCTGAGTACAATTTATTTATAAACAAAAAACACATAGAATTTAGACTGTATAACAAATTAATTTATTCAATTTGCCGTTCACTTGAAGAAAAAACGTTATTAACAAATAACAAGATAAACCGAAAAGGAAAGTTTCATACATCAGGCAAATTGTTTGATGATTGAATTATATTCAACATGAATAATTATCTTCTATAAAATAAATCCAAATAAATAAAACTTAAAAAAAACTAGACAAATAGTAACCTCAATGACAGACATTTATCACTATATCATTAAGAAATACTTATCTAGAAAATAAGAACATTCCATATTCAGTATCTCAAAATTCACTTTACCTGTAATTAAAATAAAAATTACATCAAAAAGCATGTGGATGACATAAACATTGTACAAATGGATTGATCACAATATGAATTACAGGCAACAAAATGTTTTTCGGGAATTTTATTTCATTCACAAGACAAAATTTTGAAACCTTTCTGAAAATAAAAATAAAATAAAAACCTTTCAAACAATTCTGCTGTAAAACATTTATTTCTAACGAAGTATAATAAAGGATAAAACCATACACGAGAAATAAATATATTTATGCTGTTGACTACTTTCTTCATATAAGTCTTTTAGTCTATCGAAGATGACATGACTATGTAATTTCTCAACAACATTCTTTATTATTATCACATTACATCTAAACTTAAATGTATGTCGTTATAATCCAAAAAGAGTTTTACCACTCATAAACATAATTCAAACGAGAATTACAAACAATTATAATTAATAACGGACAATTTGATGTTATCTAGCTCCGGGTGGGGGGCGACGAAAGTAGATCACAATTCCCAAAATGCCAACGAGCATTGAAACCAAATAGAGATCCCAGTATGCTTTTAAATAGAAATGGAAACTAAAGGAAAAAAGCCAACTACTCCAACTGGTCTGAAACAAAAATACATAATAAATAGAAATATAACATTTAATAAATATACTTTTTTTTGGCCAGCTAGCTGCCATGACTATTGCTGGCACCTTGCTTTTTCTCCAGCTCACATTTTTTATTAACAACATTGGGCTCTCCAATACAAAGGGCCTGGCAATCTTACATATTTTATGATCTCCTGGGACTCTACTATCATTTTTAATTAGCCCTTCCATACGTGGTGAAAAGGCTCTACAATTAAGGTACAGACGTATATGTATCGTGGCCTAACCAAAGTTTGGTATGTCTCAGCGTACTGATACTTCACTACTGCTCAAGACCCACCATCATTCACGCTAATAAATACGTTCACACTGACTAGAAACTTTCGTACTAATGTACAATTAAAATTTTGGGAGGCGCCGAGGTTTCAAGCGGGAAACACACTTACCCGATGCCTCATCTCGTTTTGGTAGGGTGTGCACATCTATTGTCACATACAGTTACACAACGTGTATCACAAATCAGTATCACAATCGCAATGCCTCTTTTGTTCTTAATGCATTATTTTCAGCAAAACCATGTAATGAATTGTTAGGTAAATTTAATTGTTTTAAATAAAGTTATTCCGGTGTTTTGATAAATTTTCTGCCTAACTATCATAATTAAATAATAGTTTATTAAAACTCATGGATTTTTGATCTCGATTAATTTGGTGTACATTCAAATAAGAATGTTGTAAATAATATAACAACAAAATTACATATACACAGTGTGAAATAAACTACAAAAAATATGGGTGTCCTGTTCAGACGTTACTCGACGAAAATGATGTAATTTTATGAGCAAAACCATGTGATACATGGTTAATTAAATTTTATGAACAAAACCATGTAATAAATTGTTAGTTAAATTTTATGAGCAAAATCATGAAATAAATTGTTAGTTAAATTTTATGAGCAAAGCCATGTAATAAATTGTTAGTTAAATTCATTATACCAAAAAATGGTATTCTAGTGTATTGATCAATTTTCTACCAAACCATTAAAATTAATTTTTTCAAATAAAAACTATTGCATTTTTGATCTCGCTTAATTTGGTTTATATTAAAGTAAGTATGTTATAATTAATATAATAGCAATAATTCATATAGTTTGAAATAAAAATGAGTGTCCGGTTCTTTGTCTTTGACTGTACTCGATGCTACTCGATGAAAATCTGGGCAGTGGGGATCACAGAGTAGCGTTGCAAGGCATCGGGCAGATGTGCATGGAAGTAATACAATCATATGGAAAATTGGACATTGGATTTGCATCGGGTAAGTGTGTTCCCCGCTTTACACCAATCAGTCAAAAAATATATACATATTGTCCCAGATAAAGTGCGAAAAATTTTTTTAAGTGATAGTGCACCCTATTTGAAACAACTTCCAATGTACAATCCCTATACCTATTTTCAGTCCCTGGGGAGTTACGATTTTTTGTTAGTTTTTCCATGGAAGCGTTATCTTACTTGAGAAAAACACAAAACAAAAAATTTGAACTTTCTCTGGGACCCCCTGTACATAACTAACCTAGTACTTGGGCCACGGTAGCCGAGTGGTTAAGGGGTCAGGCTCTCAGCTAGTAGATCCTGCGGTCGTGGGTTCGATCCCCACCGTCGCTTCTGGACTTTTTCTGATGCCTAAGGGTACCGGTGGCCACAATTCAAAGAAATTGACACGGCCCTCAACAATGGAAGGGGCGGGATCGGATCTCAGCGACCCTGAATTTGGTCCCATCCCCCTTCAAAATTGAGTTTCTTCGATGGAAGAATACCGGTACAACGGGGGCTCAATTCACATTTGTGTTGCGAGCCCTCCCCCAAAATATGGAGCCAGAGATAAAGTATAATAAGCTGTACAGCTGCAGTGCTCAGGAGGGAACTTCTCCAGTCCCTGGTATCCAAAAAAAAAATATATATATACATATATGATAGTACACTTGGGTACTTACCTCCCCTTCCTTTCTCTCTAATCACAATTACACTCAAAACTAGCCTAATTGTTGGGTCTGTAGAGTACCCTATATTACGCCACACACATACACTCACTTACTCATGCCATTATGCCAATAAATACATTAATTTATTTAAAATTAAAATAAAATCAAAAATTTTCATATTAAAAAGTGATACATTTATAGTCATAGTATTGAAAAATTTTATTTGGCCAGGATTTTATTCCATTCACTTTACTAAGAAAAGTAGTTCTAATAAACACGAACACGGATATGTTTATAGATTTTTAAATGAAAAATTGGAATATAATTTGGAGAGTTAGAGAGATTCCAGAGGTATAGTTTGTGTTTAACTTTGCTCTTATGTGCAAATATGCTCAGTGAATTTAGAAATTTAAACCCTCTGGTCATAGGAAAGGCTAAAATCCTTGGTGTTTCAAAGATGTCGATATCTTGTAATACTGGACATTTGTCCGTTATAGAGAAGTTTAACTGTATTTAAAAAAAAAAAAATTTTTTTGACAAGCATTAATTATAAAATAATCAAATCATACGTTTCAGACTATGATTATTGAGTTGATCCTCAATAACGCTTAATGTGCAAAACATTTGAGAAACCTAATTTCAATAAATTTCCAAATAATATACAAAGGATAGGATATGAACAAATTTATAATGCTTACATCCTCTAAGTATTTCAATGCTGAAATCACTGAAAGCTTCATTAATGCCAGGGCAACCGGTATTTTTGCATCGGTACTAGCTTCAGCAGCCATGTCATAACATCTTTTAGCCAAATGCATGTCCTGAAACATTGACATATTCACACGAAAATAAGATTCGATAATTCAATCGTCATAATAAACTAACTAAACAAGATGTGAAACATTTGAATAAGTTTACCTGTTGCATTCCCAATCCCTGTTCGTGCATATAGCCGAGATTAAACATGGCCTGAGCATTTTGCTGTTGGTCAGAAGCCATTCTATAATGCATTGCAGCAATTTCATAATCAACGTTTGTTCCTAATCCGTAGTAATAATAGTCTCCTAGCTTTACTTGAGCAGGGGAATAACCTTGCCCGGCTGCTCGTCCCCAATATATCCGTGCTCTGACATAATTATCAGAACCATCCACATCAGAAAATGATACATCTCCTGTAAATAGTTTGTAAATACATATACATATATTTTTTTAAATAATTACATGATGAAAAAAAACCTCTATCAAGCATATGTGCAGCATTGCTTTGGGCTACTTCATAACCAAGTTCAGACAAGAAGGCATAATGGATAAACGCTTCGGCAAATTTCCCATTTCTATACAGCAAATTTGCTTCCATGAGCATTTCTCCCCATTTACCACGTTCTGCTACATTCTTGTAGAGCTACATGAACAAAACAAAAAGTTATATCATTTTATAATATTTAAATACTATAGTTACACTGATTCTGTCAACTAGGACCTAACTTAGAAACTGAATTTTATATTTTGATACCAAAAAAAAAACCTATATTCAATACACAAGGCTTGACTTAAACAAGACTTTTATCTAGAACACTAATCCTGTGATCGTGTAATCCATTAATATACCTCTAAAGCTGTAGAGCAAGATCTCATTATTCCTGTGCCAGTAGCATGCATTTGAGCCAAGTTGAAAAAAGCTAATACATTTCCTGATTGTGAGGCGAGGGTAAAGAACTTATTAGCTAATTTAAAGTCTCGTTTCACTCCCAAACCACCTGCAGAGGAAACGACATGATGAATACAATCCATGATAAATAACACGTTTCAACATACCAAAATGCATAACCCCAAGCTGTAATTGAGCGTCAACCCAACCTTGGTCAGCTGCAAGACTAAAGTATTTCAGAGCTTTACTATAATCTTTATCGACGCCGCGCCCTTCCAAGTACATCAACCCAAGTCCACTCTGCCCTACAGGATTGCCCATATCAGCCGCTTTTTTGAAATATTTATAAGCAGTTGCATTATCTGCTTTGACCATTTCACTTCCTTCTAAATAAATCTGGAAAACATTTGATATTAGATCTTCAAAAGGATTACAAACTTTTTAAATAAACTTACTCGGCCTAAGAAACCTAGTGCAACAGCACTTCCTGCATCAGCAGCCTGCAGAAAATAGTGCAGCGCCTTTTGGTAATCTTGAACTACACCACGACCACCTTGGTAATGCAGTTGTCCGAGCCCAACCTTTTGCATATAGAATATGAAATTTATTAAAGTGCATAGGTTAGATAGGGTTAAGGATAGATTAGTTTAGAAGAGACATTGTTAAGGGCAGGTTAGTTTAGGTTAGATACAATTGGGACAGGTTAGGTTAGGATTAACAGGATAAGGGATGTGATTATGTTAGAGTTAAGGATGTATTAGTTTAGGTTAGACTTTGTTAAAGACAGGTTAGGTTAGGATAAACAGGATAAGTGATGTGTTATGAGATTATGTTAGAGTTAAGGATGTATTAGTTTAGGTTAGACTTTGTTAAGGGCAGGTTAGGTTAGGATAAACAGGATTAGGGATGTGATTATGTTAGAGTTAAGGATGGATTAGTTTAGATTAGATAGTTAGGGATGAGTTAGGTTTGGACAGACATAATTGGGTGGATAGTTAGGGACAAATAAAGTTAAGTAGAGTAAAGGAAGGTTTAGAAGGTTAGATTAACCATTGTTATGACAGATTAGTTCCAAGTCAAACATTTTGCAAATTGAATATGAAATTTATTAAAGTTAGAAGACAGGTTCAGTTAAGTTTGGTAAAGATATGAAAAAAGTTAGGGAGGGATTATTAGGTTAGTTTAGATGGAGTTAGGGACAGGTTAGTTTAGCTTATCCATGAAACTACCTGTTTTTTTTTGTTTTTTTTTTCATTTAGTTATTGCTTTAATAAAAGTTAAATACTTGTTATTTTAAATCCAATATATTTAATTTATTATACCTGGACAAAACTTAAAATAAAAATATATAAAAACCCTTTATCTGCGTCATTAATTATAGAATTATTTTCATAATAGAAAATATTTTACAATTAAGATTTTTAGTTGAGATGAAAAAAAGTTAATGGCACGAGCGGGATTCAAACCCACGATCTTCAGCTAGATATGCTGCTGCTCTACCACTTGAGCTATTGTGACCTCGATCCACTCAGACATCAACTCCTATCTCAACCCCACCTTATGAGTTTTCCCTCCTTTTTGCCATTTTTCATCTCAACTAAAAACCTTAATTAATTGTAATGTATTAATTGGTCAAGCGGACCACGAAATTAGTGAATAGAAAATATTGTTTAAATGTAAATAAATATTAATTTTTTAAATACCTGAGACTGAACTTCACCCTTCTCTGCAAGCAATTGATAATATTCAATGAGATCATTATCTATTATTCCAGAATTATATCCTGGATTGTCTACTTCATCTAACAAACGTACTCTCTGTATAATGGTCCCACCAGACATTTGGACATCTTTGGCAACTGTACAGTAACATTATATAAATCATTATAAAGCAATATCTTTTACTATAAGTTGTTATCAACTGTTACCTTCAGTGGCAACTAGTCGGTAAAAAGCGAGGGGCTTTTCACAATTTCCATTCAATGCAATGTGTGCCCAATAACGATAGCCTAATGCCATTCTTGCCCAAGTACTTCCACCAAGGGCTCCAATCATGTAGTGAACAACAGCTTCGGCATTGCTCGAGTTAACACCGATTCCAGCAGCATATAGAAATCCAAGACCCTACAAAATATAATATAAAATAAAATAATACAATAATTTGGGGTAAATAAGAAAACATAATACAAAATAAATTTATTTTATATTTTTAATAAAATATTTTCAACATTTAATCGCCAGCTGTTTTAGTGTTAGATCTAAACTGACAAAATACTCTTCTGAAACAAATTATTAATGGATAACTCCTTCAAAATGTCAAGTTCATTTTTTTCAGTAGATTAAGCTGACCTCTGATAATTGTGGTAGAAAATTGACTTTTTTTACCAGTTGAAATGTCTTTTGATGTATAAATCCCTACGTAGCTTGTGTAAGTGGCAATTCACACTTGACGGTGAAAAGAGTAATTTGTTTACAAATACCAAGTGTAATAAATAAATAACATCTTGTAGAGGCCCTTTGTTTACAAAAGAAGGCTGCCCTGAATTTGCTCCCTTGGCAGGAACGAATTTCATATATTGCAAACCACCTCCATACAGTGCAATCATTGAGCGAACCATCCATTTCAAATAATCAGACCAATGGCTATTTATTTTTTCTTTTAATAATGCATTGTTACCAAGAAATTCCTGCCTCAACGTTATTTTCATTTAAAGGAAAGTCAAAACAGTCATACTGACTGTAAAATGAAGGCTTTGTTTACAAAAATGATTCACTTAAGTATTAGAATCAGTACTAAAATCAATGTAGGAATTAGATATCAAATTCAATAAACATTTAAAAACTTTTTTTTAAATATAAATGAAATGGACAAAAATAATATATTTACCGTATGTGCATCAGGTACGCCTCTATCAGCCAATTCTGTGAATGTCTCTTTCGCTGCGTAAATATTTTGGGGGATGTGGTTTCCAAACAATCGTCCCCATGCCAATTTGATTTTTGCAGCAGTGTTTCCCACTTCACTTGCCTGCGCAAGTAGCTCATAAGCCATCTTCTTGTTGCCTTTGGACGATTTAAGAATTGCTTGGGCTTGTTTAAAGAGGTCAGAACCTATGGAAATATAATATCCTCATTTGTTATTGAATTTTTATAGTTTGACAATCTAAATCATCTAAAAATTAATAAGCAGTTTAAAATAATATTAACATATATTAATACTATATATAGGTGGCCCAAATACTAGCTGCCTTGCTCAATATTGGCGGGAATACATATTCACTTTTTTTATGGAGTCAAGGAATGACTCCCTCCAATTATGTAAGACACATTGTTAGTCTCTACACGCTAGACAAATAGGCATCTGCTCAAAAGTAAATGTTTTTGGGGGACCACGGTAGCCGAGTGGTTAGCATGAGAGACTCTCACGCCGCAGTCGTGGGTTCGATTCCCACCGTCGCCTCTAGCCCTTTTTTCACAATAACCCCCCCCCCCATAATTTGAACACACATATAAGAATTGTCACATGGCTAATATGCATAGTTCATAACGCCAAAAAAAAAAGAAAATGTTCATGTGTCAACCTCACATAGCTTATTCTTAGTCTGGTGAGTATGATCCTTCTTCTTTAATATTGTTTCTTTAAGGACCACCCATCGACCAAACCTCTGATAAATGAGAGCTTCTCTGCCGATCCAGTTGTGGTGATCAGGTCTGTAGGTTGGGACAACAGTTGCCTAGTCGACCTTTTGTTTTTTAAACTGCCAACATTTTGCCGAGACACATGGTTAGTAATTTCTCTTCAAAAAGCGCATGACGAGAGGTTCCACAGGGGACGTGTAATTTTTTAGTTCACAATTTTTTTTTTTTCAATGATTACCCGATTTATGCGGTCAATAATTAGCAATGGTCTTCAACCCAAATCTTGGTATGTGAGGTAAACTATCTCCATTTTTTTACATATTACATATTATAATATATACATATTAAAGGGATGGATTTTTTTATGCTGAAACCAATGCCACAATCCATTTTTAAATTAGTCAAAAAAATAATGTTATATAATTAAATAGCTGAAGGTCGTGGGTTCGAAACCTGCTCATGAAAATACTTTTTCATTTCAACCAAGACCTTACATAAAAAGAATAATTGATTGAAAGAAGTAATTTGGCCAATATGGCCACTAAACATTATGGGGTTATACATCAATTTTGTAAAAACATCTTTTTTTTTGTGCTATTCGTCTTGTCAGTCGCTTTCATAGAGAAAAAGTATCATGCGACCGAAAATCCCAAGCGACTAAAAATCAGCATATTATACCTATTGCTTACCAGTCTCATTGTCTAATGATGGGGTTCGTCCCTACGTTACCTCCATCTCCTTGATACTGTTCTCTCGTACCAATCGCCTCCAAAACAAATTTTCAAAACCTACATTTATTTTGCAACAACATGATATCACAGGTGCATTTATTTTTAATGTATTTTTATCCTCCAAAGTTTGCTCCATTCGGCTATTAGTTGAATGTGAGCCCGGAGCTCCTCCAAGGCGATTGCAGGAACAGAGGAAAACGTAATTATTTTTTAAATTAAATGTAAATTTTATCTACAGGGTATCTACGTAGAGATGGTTGAGATGAAAAGGCTAGTGTCACGAGCGGGATTCGAACCCACGACCTTCGGTTAAATACCCCGCTGCTCTACCACTTGAGCTGTCGTGACCTCGATCCACTTGGACACCAACTTCCCATCTCAACCCACCTTTCGAATTTTCCCTCATTTTTGCCATTTTTCAAATGTCGTGTAATCAAAATTCGATTCTCAGCGACTTATGAAGTGGCCATGGGGAGCTGTACTAAAGTGATACTTCTTTTACTTATTAAATGTTAATCCATTTATGTTTGGTGGTCTAAATGATCAAATTACTTCTTTCAATTGATTATTCCTTTTAAGTAAGTTCTTGGTCGAGATGAAATTCATGGGGTATTCGGAGTTTTGCCAGTTACAAAGAATTCACATACTGGCAGACTGACACAGAACCAAATTTGTTCAGAAAGGTCTGAAACGCATAATGCTAGTGGAAATTTTGATTTTGGAGGTCAAACATTTTTTACCAGCATGAATGCAAAGCTTCCCTACCTTCGGTAGTACGCAAAAATTAATTCGACTGACACAATCATTTTGAAATGTATACAACCAAATATATACAGATTCACTGATTTGCCTCTTCGCCGTGAGGACATCAAATCAAAACCACTGTGGATTTTATCCAATGTCAGTAGGAATGCTGCGTTTCTCTTTTTTGAAACTATATCAACAACTTTCAATTAATTAATTTTTATGTAAGGTATTGGTTGAGATAAAAAAGTCAGTGGCACAAGCGGGATTTGAACCACGACCTTTGGCTCAATACGCTGCTGCTCTAACAACTTGAGCTACCGTGACATCAATCCACTCGGACACCAACTCCCCATCTCAACCTTTTCAAATTTGCCCTTTTTTTTGCCATTTTTCAAATGTCGTGTAATCAGGATTCGATTCTCAGCAACTTATGAAATGGCCACGGGGAGCTGTTAGTGACTCCTTTTACTTATTAAATATTAATCCATTTATGTATAGTGGTCTAAATGACCAAATTACTTCTTTCAATTAATTATTCTTTTTATGTAAGGTCTTGTTATACCTTTTACTTATTAAATATTGATCAATTTATATTTAGTGGTCTGACCAAATTACTTCTGTTATAGCCGTACGCTTTCGGGCCGAGCCGCAGTGATCAACACGTTGACAACAATGGAATTAACTCGCCGATAACAGGATTGCTGACATGAGTCGGAGTTTTACTTATACTTACGCTCGAGCCTTGGTCGGACCTACTGCTTGACCTGTTGCTGCCCGCATCTGCTTTTGCTACCGAACGCCTGCCGCCACGTCAACGCGTCGCCTGACTTACATTTCGCCGGCTAAATAGGGGTACCCCAGAACACGCGTCGTTTTTTTTAAATTTTATTTTATATTTTATTTTGAATTTGTCAAGTCTACCTTTTTTGTTGTAATTTATGCGAGTAAGACATTTAATTTTGTCATTTACTTCTACAAGTATTTTTTTTTTTTTTTGTAAAATAAAAGCAGAAACTTATCCAGCACTCTCTTTTGTTTTCCCTTTGTTCGAACCGCGGGGTAAAGATATACCTCGACCCTAACTTGAGGTCGCTGAAACCCCACCAACCAACTTCTTTCAATTAATTATTCCTTTTAAGTAAGTTCTTGGTCAAGATGAAAAAATTAGTGTCACGAGCGGGATTCGAACCCACGACCTTCAGCTCAATACGCCGCTGCTCTAACAACTTGAGCTATCGTGACTATTTTTTTAAGCCTACATCACACCAGCCCTTACCTCACGATCTCTAAATAGTCATTAATTAATGATCACTGAATACTACAGAAATATGATAAATAATGAATAAATACATAAAATACCATTTTCTTCTGGTTCTGGGGTTGATTCTGTGGTAGTGGCTTCTTTGTCGAGGTCTGCAGGGGAGACTCCGCTGTCGGCCGGCTCTTGGTCGCCGTTCTGTCCGGAGGCGGCCGCTTCCGCCACCGCCGCCCCCGCCTTCTCGTTCAGCTTCTGCCCTTCGACGCTCTGCAAGTGGCGGAACAGGTTGTGCCTTTCGATCTCGAACTTAAGCTTCAGCTTTTCCAAGGCGGACTTTGCCAAGTCTATTTTGTAGTAGGCGTCGAAATCGTCGGGGAAAGTGATCTTGTCGCCGGCTTGGTCGTCTTGGTTCTCGGCCGACTCCTTCTCGGTTTCGGGCTCCGCCGGCGGCTTTCGGACGTCTTTGCTGAGGGCGACCCCGGTGAGGGCGGCGTAAAAAAGGAGGAACAACAAAATCCGCTTCTTGCCCATCTTTCAATTTTCGACAGCCCTCGGGAGGTGTTACATGACCGTGTTACGACGAGGCTTAATCTGTCTCGAATTTGTCACCAGAGGCGCACAAAAGCGATCCCCATCCACGGTTTTTTTTCGCCAAGTATCAAATTAACGGCTCAAACATTAATGTCTCAAACCGATCACTAAAGATTTTAAACGAGTTTCCTTGGAAATTTCATAAAAGAAACAGTACACTCTCAATCACATGGTGCCCAATGCCGACGAGATTTGTTAACACGTTATCGGCCGGTCTGACGTTCGGTGACGTGTTGTTTCGCCATTCGGCGTTAAACCGACACACAGACACAAATCATTCCTGAATGCGATTTTGTTTACCTCTTTTCTCAATTTTGGCATTTTGGCACTTATTTTGAACAACAGACGCTCCGACCCGTCACCGGAAAAGAATCGATTTTCCAACCGGTAACGCCAACAGATTCAAAAATCTCTACTGCTTTTCCAAATAACATTCACCCTTTTAAGAGTCCAAATCAAATTCACCAATATTTTTCAAATCAAATTCACTTTTTGTGAATAAGATTATCTTTTGTACATCGATTTCTCCCTTTTGAAAAACAATTTCATTTTTTATGAATTAAAAAAAATTGAATTCACTGTTTTTGAAATTTAATTAGATCATTTTTTCAATCAAATTCACCTTTTTGTGAATAAGGTTATCTTTTCTACAACGACTTCTCTCTTTTGAAAAACAACTTCAATTTTTTATGAATTAAAAAAAAATTGAATTCACTGTTTTGGACATTTAATTCGATTATTTTTTCAATCAAATTCACCTTTTTGTGATTAAGATTATCTTTTCTACAACGATTTCTCTCTTTTGAAAAACAACTTCAATTGTTTATGAATTTTAAAAAAATTGAATTCACTGTTTTGGACATTTAATTCGATTATTTTTTCAATCAAATTCACCTTTTTGTGATTAAGATTATCTTTTCTACATCGATTTCTCCCTTTTGCAAATCAATTTCACCTTTTTGTGAATTAAAAAAAAATTACTACTGCTTTGGAAATTTAATTAGATTATTTTTCCAATCAAATTCACCTTTTTCTGAATAAGATTATCTTTTCTACATCGATTTCTCCCTTTTGAAAAACAATTTCACTTTTTTATGAATTAAAAAAAAATTGAATTCACTGTTTTTGAAATTTAATTAGATCATTTTTTCAATCATATTCACCTTTTTGTGAATAAGATTATCTTTTCTACATCAATTTCTCCCTTTTGCAAATCAATTTCACCGTTTTATGAATTAAAAAAATTGAATTCACTGTTTTGGAAATTTCATCCTTTTTCATATTAAATTTACATCATTTTGTGAATTAAATTTACTTTTTTTCTACCAAACTGACATTTTTTCAAATCAAATTCACCTTTTTGTGAAGTAATTATTTTCAAAATAAATTCAACCTTTTGCCAATTACATTCACCCTTTTGCAATACATTTTTTTCCTAAATAAATTAACTTATTTTTTCAACCAGCCACCTTTTTCACATCAAATTTTCCTTTTTGTAAATTGGATTAACTTATAATTCAACATCACCCTTCTGCAAATCTATTTCAACTTTTGGTGAATTAATTTTTAAAAAATTGAATTCACTGTTTCGGAAATTAAATTAACTTACTTTTCAATCAAGCTCACTCTTTTGTAAAACAATTTCACTGTTTTGTGAAATTTAAAAAAAAAATTGAATTCAGTTTTGGAAATTTAATTTGATTATTTTTAAATTATCTTCACCTTTTTGGAAATCAATTTCACTTTTTGTGAAATAAAAAAAATTGATTCAGTTTTGGAAATTTAATTTGATTATTTTGAAATTAACTTCACCCTTTTGTAAATCAATTTCACGGTTTTGTGAAATTAAAAAAAATAAATTCACTGTTTTGGAAATTTATTCAATTATTTTTTCAATCGAATTCACTCTTTTCAAATTAATTCTACTTGTTTACAAATTAATTTTGTGTAAAGTAAATTCACTATTATCCTGATTCAATTCACCCTTTACCCTATCAAATTCATATTTTTTTGCAAATCAGATTCACTCTTTTCAAATTAAATTGACATCCTTTTGTGAATTAAATTGACTTTTTTTCTACCAAATTGGCACTGTTTCAATTCAAATTCACCTTTTTGGGAAGTAGTTATTTTTAAAAGTATCTTATTGATTACTTTTCAATCAAGCTCACTCTTTTGCAAATCAATTTCACCTTTTTGTAAATTAAAAAAAATTGAATTCAGTTTTGGAAATATAATTCGATTATTTTTAAATTAACTTCACCTTTTTGGAAATCAATTTCACTTTTTGTGAATTTAAAAATAATTGAATTCACTGTTTTGGAAATTTATTCTAATATTTTTTCAATCAAATTCACTCTTTTTCAAATTAAACTGACATCCTTTTGTGAATTAAATTGACTTTTTTCTACCAAATTGGCACTGTTTCAAATCAAATTCACCGTTTTGGGAAGTACTTATTTTTAAAACAAATTGAACCTTTTGCAAATTACATTCGGCCTTTTGCAATTCATTTTTTTTTTGTGCTAAATAAATTAACTTTTTTCAACCAGTCACCTTTTTCAAATCAAATTCTTCTTTTTGTAAATTAGATTACCTTTTTTGAAATCAAATTCATCAAATTTTCAATTCAATTACATCCTTATGCAAATTAAAGTAACTTTCTTTAAATCAAATTTACTGTTGCAAATTATATTAGCTCTTTTCAATATCAAATTCATTTTTTTACAAATTTAATTAAATTAAACTAAATTCATTATTTTGTAAATCAAATAAGGGTGAATTTCATATTAACAAATTGAACTGAATTTGCCAAAGAGTAAATTTGATTTAAAAAATTGTAAATTTTGTTGAGAAAAAGTTAATTCAGTTCGCAAAACGGTAAAATTTATTCACAATAGGGAGAATTTAAATTAAAAACTGTGAATTTGAATTTCAAAAGCGTAAATTTCGCATGAAAAGAGTGAATTTAATTTGAAAAAGCTGAAACACCTGTCCGCCACATAAATTCTTAATACGGTTTTTCGTTCATTCAAAAAAATTATGGTATAAACGATACATCATACATATAACGCCGGAAATTCGTGTTTCGAATTTGTTTTAACTATAAACTGCCCTTTACTATTGTTATTATTTTATTAATAATATTAACCTGGGTTGTACAATGTGAGAACGTTAAGGAAACGCTGGCCCAACGGATTTGAAATTTTCGTACCATTGCAGACCAGCGCACTTTTTGAAGAATCGATTGGAATAAGTCAATGTTTCAAATTTCGATCCTACCCCGGTTTAGCCGTTTAGTTTTACTGTTCACAATTGACGATCGCGGTTCGGGTGCACGTGCTTTTCACCTACGGAAATAATTCGCTCCTGGCTGGCCAGTTTAATACTTTCCAACAAACATGTATATGATGTACTACTTGAACGACAAGGGCGAAAGGGTTTACAGTTTAAAGGTAAATTTACAATTTTTCAACATAAATTCTCTTTTACAAAAGTTGCGTCGGTTAGTGTTACTATGAACTGAGTAAAAATGAATAGGGTTCTTGAATTTAAAAAATACCAAAAAGGTTTTAATTCCATAATTTTGTTTATTGGACACAATAATTTTTTTAAAATAATTAATACCATGTATCCTCTGTTAGCTACAATCTTTGTGAACCCGTTAGGCATACTGTTAGTAAGGTTGTAGCTAATTTCATAGGAATTACACTGCATAGATGTTACTTTGCTGCATGCAGTCAGTTGTTGCAGTCAACTGGCTGCGGATGGTGATGGAAAAGTCTTCAGTGCAAAGCATCCCCCATGTGCTCAACATGATTGAGATCTGGATACAATGGACTTCCCCTACTATGGGAAATTCCCAGGTTTTATAAAAATTGATGAACTCTGTCTCTCTCTGTGCCAGCTCCTCACAGTAAGCACACTCTTACTGTGAGTAGGAACTATGTTTTTGAAAAGATTGAACAAGACACTCGCTCAACCATCTATCTTTTCTGTGAGATCCTGGTTCGAGAGATGTGTACCTCGATAATTTCTTGGACGTAACAGACTAGGGTGAGGTTGCCTTCAATGATATAGTGTCCAGTTCGTCCTCCAGTGTAATCCTTATCCCAGCAGAGACCGTTACACCGCTTCCTCCAAACTGCAATAAAGCGAGCATGAAGGCATTGTACGCCTCTTCTCAGTATTCTTTGGGCCTGCTATCACTATACAGAAAGTAAACATAACAGGATTCCAATTGGTGCTCCCTTCTAGGCGCTGCCTGCACCATACTCTCCTCAGTTGCTGGTGGCGGGCTATTGCTGCAGTTCGTCTCAAAGGGGCATACGATGTGAGGCCAAGTTCCCACAAACGATTACGAATTGATAAAGGCCTTGCCAAAACATCTTTTACTTCATTTAGGATCTGGGGTGCACTATGGAATGGGTTCCGTCTTGCAGCATTGACCGTTTTTTTTCTATAAGATCCACTTGCTGGTGAACTCAATGACTTTCTTACAATCATATTGTGAATTTCTGGTTCAAGATGATTTTTTTCATGGTTAAAGAGAACACAACTGCATTAAAATGGAGAAAATATGAGAAAAGGTTTTTGCGGGATTCGAACCCACGACCTTCAGCTAAATACACCGCTACTCTACCACTTGAGCTGTCGTGACTTTGATCCACTCAGACACTAACTTCCCATCTCAACCAATACCTTTCATAAATATTAATTAATTGAAAAATGTTAATTGGTCAATCGGACCACGAACTGTAATAGATTTAATTTTACATAAACTGAAGTATATGTTCACGAAAGCTCTCCGTGGCCATTTTATTTGTCACCGAGAATCAAATTGATTACACGACATTTGAAAAATGGCAAAAAGGAGGGAAAATTTGAGAGGTGAGGTTGAGATGGGAAGTTAGTGTCTGAGGGATCGAAGTCACGATAGCTCAAGTGGTAGAGCAGCGGCGGATTTAGCCGAAGGTCGTGGGTTCGAATCCCACTCGTGAGCTGACTTTTTCATCTCAGCCAATACCTTTCATAAATATTAATTAATTGAATTATGTAGGAACTTCATTCCTGTACATCATCAGTTTCACAACGACTGCTCCCCACTGAAAAAATCTTCCTCTTCCATAACAACTTTTCTATCTTCAGGATCACTATATAACTTCTTGCAAGACACGACAGCGAGTAACCAAAGAAAAAATGGAAAAAATTGCTACCGAATGACCTCAGAAAAAAAATGACAACCATGAAAAAAGTGACGCGTCACTAACAAGCGGGGTGTGGTGCACACCAATATAAAAAGACAGTAATCACAGCTACTTGTCAACTTAGTGGAAAGGATCATCACAGTAGAAGAATGGTATTAGTGAATAAAGAGCCAGGGTAAACAGCCCACTGACTAAAGTAACAGACCAAAAATGAATTTTGAACACTCATTGGGGTGTACCACCCCCCACTAGTACATACCAGAGTTAAGAGCTATTTTATCCCCCCTTCTTTACTTATACACTTAGAAGGAAAAACTGTGGCCACCCTTAATATTTTTAATTATCTCTTAGACAGCCAATCCGTTTTAAAGGTGTAAATAAAACACAAAATCTCCCACTTCAGTTAAAAATTGTTTTTTGTAAATAAATCTTTGAATTGTCGATCTCTTCTTTGTTGGTTTTTCTGTAAAACTTTTGTAACTTGTTTGCGTGATGGTTTTAAGCAATAAAGATTCGGCTAGAATCTAGCGTTGTCAGAAGATGGAAGAACTTAGGCGTATGTAGCCTTCCTTCCTTAACATTCCCAGAACAACTGTTCGATTTATGTTATTAACAGATTATGTAATGTGTAATTAGTACATCTGGTAATTAATGTGTTTCAGAAAACTGATCCGAACGGAATGCCTACATTTTCTGCCCATCCTGGTAAGTAAAAAAAAAAAAAAAAGATTCGCCGGTCCTCTATGTGTTTTCCTTCTTTTTCCCTTCTTTTACACGCATTTTGTTTTAAACTGTAGCTTTTTTGCATGAGAGGCAAAAACTGTGGCTACCCTTAGTATTTTTAATTATCTCTTCGACAACCCACCATTGATTATCTTATAACAATATTTGGTCTGTTTTAAAGGATTAGAGATAAATAAAACACAATCAAAATCTCCCAATTGTGAGACTAAATAAAAGGTATTTTACCTTAATAAAATGATATTTTTAATAGCAATATAATTGTTACTGTTTGCACAATTTTGAGAATGGTTCCCTCATTTGTTCATATATTGTCGAGTTGATCCAGTTCATGTTCATTCGATGTGAATGGAATACAAAGCTGGCTAATACTGCAGTCCTGATAGTGCAGCAGTCATACTGAATTCAGCAAACAATGCGTTTTTCCTGGATAAGATTACTTAATAGCCACTATTACGCGATAGACATTTATTTTACTTAATCTAATTGTTTTAACTTATAGAAAAGTAAAAATCAAATTTTTTTGCATAAAAATATATTAATTTTTATTTAGTTTTAAAAGTATTTTTTCCAAAATTTATTCATTTTAAGTTATTTGCTAAAAATATTGTTTAATGAATTTTTTAAAATTATTTTAAGCTTTTACAAATAAGCTCGTCACTGATACCTTCCAAAATTTCACAATTACATATGTTTAATTAATTTTAATCTGTTTACAACATGTATACAATTAATTTTTCTACTTGAAATTGTTCTGTTTACAGCTAGATATTCACCTGCTGACAATTTCTCAAGGGAGAGGATCATTATTAAAAGAAGACATAAGCTGTTGCTCACTCAGAAGCCAGTTCCAGCCTACTGAATAAATAAAAATTTATTATTGATAAATTATGGAGTTTATTGTCAGTTGATTATCAGGTTCTCATTTCTGTACAATTGTTTTTCTACCATTAAATTATAATTTTTTGCAATATATACGTGTTTTTTGTTTGTTTTTTTGGCAGTTTACTTTGTCCTATACTATTGTGTTGTTTCTACTCAAGTATGTTTTTGGGCTGAATATACGAATTTTTTTGCATGATAAATTTCAGCGAATATCAATGCCAAGCCAAATTTCCTGCTGAGGTCTTGTGACGGACCAATCAGGAATTGCAATACTGACAGACGTAAACATCTAGTATAATAAGCAAACCAAAGTGATCAGAAACAAACAAACTACAAATATCAATGCACTAATTTGACCTGATGATTCACTAATTTAAATTTGTTAGTTCCAAAGGCTTTTTTTGCCTACACTGATGTTTTTTGATTGGATATACAATTTTTTTTCATGACCAATTTCATGTCACCAAGGATTGATTGCACATGAGTTAGGGGTTAGGTCTAGTTTAGGATCAGGTTAGGTTTATTTTAGGATCGTATTAGGTTAGATATAGCACCTATATATCGTATTATATAGGTTAATTATTATATAGATAATTATATATTATAGGAACTAAGCAAATGAAATTAACTTTTTTTTTTTAAATTGAATTAACTTAGTTTAGGAACAGGTTAGGTTAAGTTTATGAATGGATTAGGTTAGATATAGGGACAGGTTTGGTTAGATTTCATGTCACCAAGGATTGATTGCACATGAGTTAGGAGTTAGGTCTAGTTTAGGATCAGGTTAGGTTGAGTTTAGGGACAGGTTAGGTTTATTTTAGGATCATATTAGGTTAGACATAACACCTATATATCGTATTATATAGGTTTGGTTAGAAAATTATATAATATATAGGAATTTAATTATAATTACATATTATTATAGGAACTAGGCAAATGAAATTAACTTTTTTTTTGTTTTTTTTTAATTGAATTAACTTAGTTTAGGAACAGGTTAGGTTAAGTTTAGGGACAGGTTAGGTTTAGTTTAGGAATGGATTAGGTTAGATATAGGGACAGGTTTGGTTAGAAAATTGGTTTGGTTAGAAAATTATATAATATATAGGAATTTAATTATAATTACATATTATTATAGGAACTAGGCAAATGAAATTAACTTTTTTTTTTAATCGAATTAACTTTTTGGCAAATCAAATTCACTTTTGCAAATTAAATTAATTTTTTTATCCCAATCAAATAATTGTATTATTACGTATTTTGCAAATTAAACTTTTTTCCATTCAAATTAGCTATGTCGCAAATCAAATTATATTTTTTCAATCAAATTCATTATTTTGCAAATTAAATTTGTTTATATTTTTTCAATCAAGTTTACTGTTTTTCCAATTAATTCTTTTTTTCATTCAAATTCATTATTTTGCAAATCAAATTCACTGCTTTGCAAATTAAATTAATTTTTTACATCGAATTTGCTACTTTGCAAATTAATTTTTTTTTTCAATCAAATTTACTTCACAACACCCCACTCTCTAGAATTGGTTGAGCAACGGCCATCTTTTCTGTATTTCCATGAATGCACATCCTACACATTCCCTATTTGAATTGGGAAAATTTCTGTCTCAGCCTGCTCGTAAGTCCTGATTATATAGGATAATAGGCCACATCCATATTTCAAATTTCCTGGCCTTGTACAGTACAAAACCTACTGAACCATTTAGGTCTTCAATCGGCATTTTATAAATCCAAAAAAGATCTTGCATGTGAAGGTAAGGCTTTCGATTAGGGTTGCATTACAAATCCATGATTCAATGTTCAATATGTGACGACAAAGCGTCTGGCTTTGTCTATCTTCGTCTCTATCTGAAAGCATCTTCAAAATTAGTTACTGGGCGCTGTAAAAATTGTAATTTTAAAACGTTATAGGAAGTAAAAAATCAGGATAAGATGGAAAATATAAACTTGAAAACAAATATATAATTTATTTTATAAAGTAATAAAAAATGCCATTACAAAACTATAATGAAAAGAAAAGACTAGTTTCAAAAGCACAAATTATTAGGGAAAAAATATCAATTTTAAGTTTATACATTTAAACAAATGTAATTTAACAAAACAAAAAAAAAATACAACACTAGGAGCTAATTCAAAATGTAAAAAGGAATTTAAATGTCAAACAATAATGCAAGTATATGTAGGTAGTTGGAGGTAGAGAAAGGCCACTCCATTTTCAGTCTTTCCCACCAATACAAAAATATATGCAGAGGCCGATCACCCTCCAAGAGGGCTGTTTTATGGATTGCCACATCGCTGAACTGATGCAGTACAGCTCTATCGAGTATAAAGAAATTTTCCAATTTAAAAGCAATATTGTTACAAAAAGAGGATACAAATATTTTCAATGTGCAAATAAATTCAATAATTTTGTGATTTGTTTCTTTCCACTGATCACATTTTTTTTTAATCAAAAGCCTTGTTTGAGTTCAGTGCTGCATAAATTAGGTAACTGGAATTAGGCATCAATCAATCTCAATTTCCTTTAACCTAAAATGTAAAATTCACATATTATTTCATACATAAATACTACATACTATGACTAATCGCATGTAAATCTAATTGCTTTATCCCTTACTCATAAGCTGACGTCCCCATATTGTTGATTCCATTTATCATAAAGAGCCAGATTTGACGGTGAAACACTTCTGCGGATTCTATTTAACGACTGGATAAAATCCTGAAATGAAATTGGTCTAACTTTCACAGGATCAAGTGTCCTTACTTGTTCGGTGTTTAATTCTAAAATAAAAAAATAATGCTATTAATTGGAATTGAAATACTTGATATTTCTTATTCATGCTAATAAATTACATTCGCACTGCCCCAGAGTACTTGATATTCCTTGGGGTCTCCACTTTCAAACTAATAAATACATTCACTCAGTACATTAATACAAATAAGAACTGTTTTTCATTCACCCTTTACAGTCAAACCAATATATATACAGACATTTATCTCATGTATTTGTGCCACAGTACTCGATATTTCTTGGGAACTGAGTCTGGCACATCCATTCACACTAATAAATACATTTGTTTAAAAAAAACACACACAGATCTATGTAAAAACGACGTTTATAGTTATGAAGTATTGTAACAACATAAGGCCATGCATAGGTCACGTGGAATTTCAAATTTCTAGCTTTGAATCCCAGCACCCATGGAATTTTATTTGAGACTTTAAAAAAGTTTTTATAAGAAAGTTAGTTTGACATTAAGCACGATTTTCGCAGTTCCTGTTATGTTGTCTGGCATGCCGCAAAAAAAGATAAATTAATATTTATTTATTGTAACGAACCTCTTATAGGTGCAAGTGCTGCATCCTTAGCAAGAGCTGTTATATCGCTCCCAGAATAACCTTCAGTGAGATGAGCAATGGTATCGATTTCAGATTTGGTCAAAGGATTTCCTTGTCGAGATAATAACCTAGTTAAAAGAACGGCTCTGGTTTTTGGATCCGGCAAGCAAACGTAAACCCTCTTTGGAAATCTCCTGAAATATTCATGGGCAAATTAAAAAAAATAGAATTTTAAAATTTTGTCCAAACTAAATTAATTATCTAATAAAATGGTAATTTTAAGACAGTAATTATAATAAAACAATACTGTCATTTTATTATTATTATTTTTTTTTTTAGTTTTTCCTATTATGTATCTAAATTATTATATTTATAATACCTTAATAGTGCTTCATCAAGTTCTTGAGGACGGTTTGTTGCAGCCATTACAAGTACTCGATGATCACTACTAGCAGGAAGTCCGTCAAGTTCGACTAAAAATTCTGTTTTCAAACGCCTGCTTGCTTCGTGCTCGCCTTCTTTCCTTTCGCTCAAAACTGAATCCACCTCGTCGACAAACACAATTGAAGGCTAAAAACCAAATTACCTTGTAGACTTGGTGAAAGATGAAGACTACTAAAAATCAAAGGTAATAAAATAATTCACTAATTTCGTGGTCCGCTTGACCAATTAATACATTACAATTAATTAAGGTTTTTAGTTGAGATGAAAAAAGTCAATGGCACGAGAGGGATTCGAACCCACGACCTTCGGCTTGATACGCCGCTACTCTACCACTTGAGCTATCGTGACATCGATCCACTCGGGCACCAACTTCCCATCTTAACCCCTCAAGTAGCGGCGTATCAAGCCGAAGGTCGTGGGTTCGAATCCCGCTCGTGCCATTGACTTTTTTCATCTCAACTAAAAACCTTAATTAATTGTAATAAAATAATTTCTGTCATCGATGGTTTAAAGTCTTCACGACCTCTTGGCTGTCAAACCACTTTATAATAATTTTTTCATATCATAAACAATTAAAAAGCCATGGGTTCTGCCTCAATTGGAGCCCAGAGAACTGCTACTGTGGTAAGTACAAGTTGGACGCCCTAACCACTCAGCCATGGTCCCCTTGAAGTTAATACTCCGTAAATATATTATGTTAATTTGTGAATCAAATCATTAGTTTTACATTATGGAAGGAATATTTCCCAAATTTAACATAATTGTACACATTTAGTTTATCTAATATTTCAACACACCTAACCTGTCACTAAATCGCAACTTGTTTACTTTCTGGAAAGGATGTAATACTCACAAAACAGTACTTGTGAGTAGAACCATCCTTTCCAAAATATGAGATACTCACCACACCTAAATGGTTTCTATAAACCTAATCCTAACCCATCACTAATCCTAATCTATTACTAACTTTTACCCTAACCCTAACTCATCATTAACCCTAACCCACAACCTACCCTACTAACCCAATCTATCACTAGCCATGCCTGATACTAACCCTAACCTGCCACTAACCCTTACCCAACTCATCTGAAACCCTAACTTGTCACTTAGTCTAACCTTTAAAGCATATAGTGAGTTAAAAACGCTGGTTTTCGGCTTTCCCTTTTCTGAGTATAAGTTCAGAGAAAGAACCATTCCTGGTATTAACATTGTGCAATTCAAAGAAAACGAAAAGACTACTTTGGGTGCATAAAATTAATAAGAGAGAAAAATTGGGAAATATTATTATTTAAATACTACTTAATTACTAAAATATTTCTGTTTGATCACTCATTTTAACCTAGAACAAACCCAATCTGTGCCTCAAAGAACAAAGATGGTAGGTCTTTAATTTTGTATGACAGATTGCTTGTCACTGCAGCAAAATCAATAGCAATGGATCAGTACAACTAAAATGCAAGGCAACCATCGCTTCCTGCCACAATGGAAAACACTTTCAGTCTGCGCAGTACTTAACCTAACTAATCCAACTCATGCAACTCCCCAGTAATGCAAAAAAAATCTATGAAGCCTAAAAATATATTCAGGTTAAAAAAGAACATTTTATTTACCTCAAGTTGTCGAGCGACTGAAAAAAGTGCCCGGACCAATTTTTCTCCTTCTCCAACATATTTTGAGGTCAAGCTTGCAGCGCTGATGCTAAAGAATGTTGAATTTGAAGCAGTTGCAACTGCTCTAGCAAGTAGTGTTTTCCCATTCCCTGGTGGTCCGAAGAGGAGAAGACCTCTTGCCGGTGTCCGAAGGCCGGTAAAAAGTTCTGGTCGTAAAGAAGGTAAAATAACCATCTCATTTAAAGCCTGTTTGGCTATCTACAAAAAAAAATCATAATAATAAAAATTAATAATAGTAAATAGAATATATAAAATTAGATGAAATATAAGGTTATTATGTGTCTGGCATGGTAAAACTTACTTCTTGACCAGCAACATCATCCCAAGAAACAGGTGTGCCTCCTTCCAATATTTCATCCATTACTATTTGTGCTAGCTTTGGATCCACACCTTTTAAATATGCTGATCTGGTGGCTACTTTGGCTTTTGTAGTTTTATGCACGGGTGACGTACAAGGGCCCTTAAAAATAATTATTGATAGAATACTTTTCAGTTACAGTCTTGAGAGATATATTGTTGTACTGCTTACACAGAAGATTAAAATTTTGGTAAAAAGGGTACAAATTTAAGTATCGGTTAAAATGTGTAAAAAAAAATTCAACAAATTGACTGACGACTATCTTTTATTAGCCATAATAATTATAAACTAACGGAATAAAACTTACAGAAAATTGTCTTTTAATCGCTGGAGGAGTATGCGTAATTTTGGCAATTGCTTGAGATGAATTATGTGATCGCGATCCCATAGACCTAGGAAGTGTTTTACTTTTCACAAGAACGTTTCCCCTTCCAGGTCCGCCAAGCAGCATCTTTTTCTCTGATGCTACACACAAAACCAATTACATATATTTCATCATATACGATCAGGTTGATTTAATCAAATGAATTTATTCTATGATATTACTTAATAGATTCAGCCTGTCGTTGGCCATGGCAAGATTCGTTTTCATTTTTTCCTGAAGCCTCTGCGCCCTGTCCCATACATCTCCTTTTCCATGACTACACTCAATCGCAATACCTCTTTCTAATTCTGTGATCCCTTGTTTGTAATATGCTATCGCTATCTGTTTATGGCCTGACAACAGAATAAAACAAAAAAAAATTCGCTATAGGTATGAATAAAATTCAGCGTTTCCAAATAGCATTTTGAAAGCAACTCTTGACGGCCTAACATCACTTAAATCAATTCACAGACACAGTTTTAATTATTAATATTAATTTAAGTACACAGTTTCTGATCGTTTTGATCTGCGTATGGTCTGTGTCTGTGGATGGTAAGAAACCAACAAAGATTCGCATAGTTAAAGCAATAGTTTTCTCAAAAGAAACCTACGACTGCAATAGCTGGACCATAATGAAGGATGAGCAAAGGAAAGATGCTTTTGAACTGTAGTGTTTGAAGAAAATTCTGAGTGCCTCGACTGCTCGCTAGAGGGAATAATATTAAAGTCAAAACTGAAGAACTTTGGTTACACAATGAGAAGAGAGGATACCCTGAGGAAGAAAATGATGCTACGGAAAGGCAAAAGGGAGATGGGTCACGTCATGAAGGGAAAAATGGATGGATGATATTTTGGAGGTGACGGATTCAACCATGGTGGAACTGGGGTTGGTGACGGTCAACAGGAAGCTCTGACATGAGCTGGTTCTTGAAGTTACAAAGAGTCGGAAGAGATTTAATGAACAAACAACAAATAAGCAGCCAATTGTTTCTGATAGAAACGAATACATCTAATGAACAAATACAAATACATTACAGCATCATCACCAAGAAGAAATCTTACATTTCAATACAGTTATTAGAAAAACAATATATATATAAAATATTAACCTTCATTTTCTTCGTCGATCTTAAGAGCTTTCGATATAAATTCAAACGCTCGCCTGTGGTGTTCTTTCTGCTTGGAGAGGAGTGGATCTCCAGACAGAGAAGAAACGGTGCGTTTCATTTTGTGACTCGTCATCCGGCAGATTAGTTCTTCGCATAGTAAATCGTTGTTCTGTAAATCTTTCCGCGCTGTCTGATTAGTCTCGACGTTCTGACCCTTCGATTTGAATATCATCAACTTGGAACTCGACTTCCATATATAACGTAGTATAACAAAAAACAAGTAAATAAGTGAGCGCAAAATATTAAAAACGAAAACCAAAGGCAAAGAAGCTATGTGCAAGTTCTTTTCATGGACCGATTCTTTTTCGTTATTGGCGTTACCCTTTTCCTCGGATTTTCTACCTTTTTTCACACATTTTTGATTATCTTTATGAAACATTAGTCGGCGAAAGCGAATTAATAGTGTGAGAATCTCTCAATAACAAAACAAGCAACAAATTAGTGCAAGCATAACGATAAACAATTGTGTAACATTTTTTGTTATTATTATTTTTTGTTAATAATAAATTAGAAAGACCGACGCAAAGAAACAACACTTACAAGCTAAAGGAATATACGAGAACGATTATTGCTTAAAGAAAGGATGAAATTAAAGAGAAAACGTCTTAACGAAGGCACGGAAGATAAAAGGAGTGGCAGAAGTGAGAAAAGTCGACATCCCACCGACTGAGAGGAGCCGGAATCACTAGAAACTTCAACCAGTCACTAGTCAGGCAGCAGTCACTATGGTGTAAGCAGTCACTACTCACTAATCACTATGGTGAGATTGGACTGACTGCAGGCACAGAGGAAAAACCGGCGCAGGTCGCCTCGAACCATGCGTCATCTACCCAACTCAATTGACTCTTCATCATTGGGTCGATTATATGGCTCATAGGGAATTGGAGAAACGGTTTCATCATTTATTCAGTATAAACTACCGTCGACAAACCAGAGATGAGATTACAATCAAAACTTTAACAATTATTTATTTTACTTGTTTATTTTAAAGGTACAAATAGGAATACCTAAAGTATCTATTACCTGTACATGAATTAAAAATAATTTTATTTTATAAATATAGTAAAACAATAATTATAGGATTGGCCATAAACGGCGCCAAAGCTTGCTTACACATGCCCCATATACAGAGAAAGATTGCTCGATGTGCCCATAATAGAGGCATGCCATGCCTTGGCTCCTCACAGAGAGTGTGTAGGCTGTAGTGGTTCTCGAGCACAGCAGTCAGTTTCTAGGTCCCCTGTTCAGTTTTTTAGAGGAAGTGTATTTTTTTACTGTATCTTATGTTCTATGTGTTTTGTTTGAATGTGTGTATTCATAAAAGTACCCTAACGACCCGTATTTAGGTTAGATTACAAATACAGTGTGTAGGTCGATGGAGAAATATCCAGTACTCCACTGACTAATCAGAATGGTTGCAATGCATGAATGTGAATTTGTGCGACTGATTTATCCAACTATATTGTAGTTTGCATGAGTTTGGGGCTGAAATAACTAGCAGCCTAATCCTGTTGGTAGAGGAGCGACGATCTTGCTACGTTTGGCTTAAGGGAGATACTAGCCCTAGTAGGTGAAGGTCCCTCATGTATAGATCCTAAGGTCAGTACATCGGGGAGTGACAACCCTTCGGGGTGAAAGTCTGAATAGTAATAATAATAAAACATATAGTAAAATATACAAAACAATAATGACAATACTATATTCTTTAAAATATTAATTGTGTATAATCAAATGATAAAACCACATTACAAAAGAAAATCAGAAAGAGAAAAAAGGTAAAAGGAAATGGGAAAAAGAAAAGGGAGAGGGAAGTAAAAGAGATGATTCGTGTTGTTTTAAAAAATCAGATGCCATGGACCCAAAACAAGCCAGTGAGGAAGCAGAACATATTTCCAAGGGAAGCAGGTTCCATAGTTTTGGCCCTGCAATTCAGAAGGATAAGACTAAAGTTGTAAAGGAATCTTGATGACTTGGGATATGATTGGTGCATTTGGATAAGGGATGTGGAGAAAAGTTGACTAAAGCAATTTACTTAATTTATTTTTAAATATGTATATTAAAACTCTAAGTTTATAAATGTTCAGAATTCTTTCAATTAATTAAGGTTTTTAGTTGAGATAAAAAGTCAGTGTCACGAGTGGGATTCGAACCCACGATCTTCGGCTAGATACGCCGCTACTCTACCACTTGAGCTTGTGACCTTGATCCGCTCGGACACTAACTTCCCATCTCAACCCCACCTTTTGAATTTTCCCTCCTTTTTGCCATGAGCTTCCTCCTGATCCTTGAAATGGGAGTTAGTGTCCAAGTGGATCAAGGTCACAATAGCTCAAGTGGTAAAGTAGCGGTGTATCTAGCTGAAGGTCGTGGGTTCAAATCCCGCTCGTGACACTGACTTTTTTATCTCAACTAAAAACCTTAATCAATTGAAAGATATTAATTGGTCAAGCAGACCACGAAAACTAGTAAATTTAAGAAGTGTTTAGAATATTAAGGTTGCTGAAGACTTAAGACGTATAGGAAGAAATATGATCTCATGGTTTAAGATCATAACAGTATCTAATACAAGAATTTGTGGATAAGCAATTTGAAAGTGATGAGCAGATTGAGATTATAAGAAAAGTGAAAAAATAGCACTATAGTAAGAGAATAAATTATTAGAGATTTAATAAGGAAAACTTGTTTTCTGTAGAGTGAAAAAGCTAAGGCATCAGAGAATGGAGGCTTGAGTAGACTTTTAAATAATAGAGCTCACATGGTCATGCCTTGTAAGCTTAGAGTTAAAAATAATGCCGAGAGCTTTAACTTAAGGACAAAAATTAATATAGGGGAGCCAAAAATTTGAGTTCTCAGGACATAATTGTCTTTCTGGAATAATTCGCTGGTTCTATAAAAATTGTTTGACTATAAATGTTTTGAAAACTATCTAATGTATTTCCATTGGGGCTCTAAAAAATTCTGCTCTTCTCTACAATATTAATAATGACATTGTTTAATATGTCAATTATATTAAAGACATAGGAGTCACGTTTCAGTACAATATGTCCTATTCACTAGATATTTCATCGATAGTAAATTAATCGTTTAAGTTGTTAGGCTTCATATCTTACAATACTCATAATTTCAGTAATATTAATGCCTTTAAACAAATTTATTGCTCCTTTGACTGTACTCTGTTCTCATCTTGAATCCTCTTCTGTCTGGTCTCCTTATCTTCTGTCAGACATTTTTTTTTAGAACAAAAAAAGCTGCTCTACCACTTGAGCTATCGTGACCTTGATCCACTCAGCCACAAACTTCCCCCCATCTCAACCCCACCTTTTTAATTTTTCCTCCTTTTTGCTATTTTTCAAATGTCGTGTAATCAGATTGGATTCTCGGCGACAAATGAAATGGCCACGGAGAGCTTTAGTGAAGTATACTTCATTTTAACTTATTAAATTCACTCGTTTTCGTGGTCCGCTTGACCAATTAATATCTTTCAATTAATTAAGGTTTTTAGTTGAGATAAAAGTCATTGTCACGAGCGGGATTCGAACCCACGATCTTCGGGTAGATACGCTGCTGCTCTACCACTTGAGCTATCGTGACCTCGATCCACTCAGAAAATGGAAAATTGAAATATGGCAAAAAGGAGGAAAAATTCAAAAGGTGGGGTTGAGATGGGAAGTTTGTGTCCGAGTGGATAAGGTCACGATAGCTCAAGTGGTAGAGCAGCGGCGTATCCCAAAGATCGTGGGTCAAATCCCGCTTGTGACACTGACTTTTTATCTCAACTAAAAACCTTAATTAATTGAAAGATACATATTGGTCAAGCAGACCACAGAAACTGGTGAATATAATCAGAACAGGTTAATAGGGTAGGATATTAGGAAACAAATGATTTTCCTTAATTCAAAAATGTACATATATTTTAAATAAATTAACCAATCGATGCATTGCAATATATAATTAAAAAAACAAAAACAATAAAATATATAACTGCAATACATTTAATAGTATTTACTCCAACAGCATATCCTCATTCGCTACATATTTTCAAATAATTTGTATTGGGTTTCACACTACAATACATATTTCAAAATAAAATACATTGTGAAAATATTGTTCAAATCAATGATTGCATGTTTCCCTCTTCTTTTTGCTCACTTATTAGCACCATCTATCAAAAAGATGTAACTATTTATTTAAATATATAACTTTTATGAAGCACATTCATGCTAAGCTCTCAAGTCAATTTACAGTAAAAAGCAATGAAGCTTTTATACATTCTGTATACTTCACTGCATTCGAACGGAGGAAAAGCAAGTACAAAATAAATACAGCAACTGTGCTTCTGTTAAATTTTAATCATAAAAATATCTTGTTATAATAAAATTGAAACAATTTTAGACCCTTCCTTATTAACTTAATAAAACAATACCATTCATCTAAATAAATACATTTAGTTTGTTTTGTAGGCTTTAAAACATGATTTTAAATAGTTCACTTAAATATCATTATTATAGCGTCTTCGGTTAAATCAATTCTTAAACATTTAGAGAATATCACAGTTCAAACCTTCTCACTCTTAACATTCAAGGGAAAGAAGTCCGATTTATAACTGTTAGCAGATGTGCCACTTGCTAACTGATTTGTAATAGTAATTTATCAAATTTAAAATAATATTTGGTTTTGATTACATCTAAGCTGGAAAACATTATATAAGAAATTTAACTTATATTTTTTTAAAAATAAATTAGACAACCTGTGCAAAAAAATCAACCCATAAAATCATAACTATAATATTTTACCTCAGATTTTATTTCCACGAATATATGAAATCCAAGTCTAGACAAATGCCAAATAATAGGAAAGTTAACACTAACGAATTTCAGAACAAATGAACGGAAATTCATAAATTACATTACATTCTAATTATTTCTCAGATGTAGAACAGATATTATGAGGATTGACCAAGTGAAGAGAACCCACTCGGCATTTCACTCAACTCTACAAGGGTAATGTGTGAAAGGGGTTTGGAGTAAATCAAGCCGTCGATCTATAAACTGATCCATCCGTAATAACTGTTAAATAGCCAGTTTCATAAATCAATAGGTTTATTTTCCAAGTTTCACACGATTGAACATTTAAAAAATATTCCTCATTAACTGTATTCCTATATGTAACCATTTACACAATAGTTCAGCCACTCTTTATTTATATCGACATTACCCGCAGGAAACTAAAACATTAGTTCTTAGCTCTGAGACACCATAGATAAAAAATTTTGTTCACTAAAATTAACATAAATTATGAAATGGTTTAAAAATAAATATTTATTCAAACAGTTTGTAATGCAATGTATTATCTACTTTATGCTTCAAAATAAAATGCTATGCTACAAGTCAATAACGTATAATATTAATTTAACGTTTTAATTAATTTGGTACTGGAACCTTAAAAATAAAAAAGCTAGATTAACCCTTTCACGACGGTGAGCATGTTATCATGCTCAGTGAAGTACTGAGACTCATCCCTACCTCTAGTAATGTTCTGCGAGTGTGATATCACACCCTCGTCTTCAACTCTTTAAGACTTAAATTCAAAGAAGCAGAGTGTAGCTTAAAATTGTGAAAAACGAAGTTGTGTTTTCTAAATTTCCCACTCTCGCTAGTGCTAAAAATAATAATTTAAAACAGCACACTGCTTCTATGAATCTAAAAGTAAAGAGAGTAGAAAACAATACCACGTGTACTGGTAGGGATGAGCGCAATATCACCCTCTTGGTACCACAATTTGGAAACGAAGAGTGCTGACTGTCCTGGAAAGGTTAATAAATGCTGCAAAGGGTCTCTGTATAAAAAGGCTCGGGGGAAAAATGAAACATAAAAAATACGTTTTAGTCGAAAAATTCATTGAATGCTCTATTCTAAAGTATAGTTTATAGAATTTAAAACAAGTATATGTACAAGTTATGTAACATTAAAAATACATAAAATGTCAAGTATTATAAAAATTAGGTTCAGGAAAAAACCCAATGGGGGAAGGGTTGAATCACTTACCCTCATGTTAGGCCAATTGTTAAGAAGACAAATTCATCTCAGGGTTTATAATTTTTTAACAATAAATTAAGACAAAAATTAATAATAAAAAATTTCATTTCTCGAGATTTCTGTATGATCAATTTCCAAGCTTATTTTAACTATACTTCGTCTTCCAGCCAATGTTTCAGCTAATAACAGTCAACACCAAGATAAGTTCTGACCTTTAACATATGTTAAATTGCACAATACGCAGGTTATCTGCAATCAGTCCGCCGGAGTCAAAAACATGAACCTTTTCAGTTTAATAATTAAAAGTCTATGGTTAAAACGGGAATTTTTCTCAGTATAATTAATAATACAACCGGGTATACATTTAGTAGGTTATAAGTTATCTTCATGAAGGGAATTATTATTTGAGTTGAAAACAAAATTTTCGTTTCAGGTTAATTTTTAATTTCAGTATATCGTAATTTAATAAATGTCAACTAATCAAGTTTTACCTGTCTACTTAAAAATTACAGAATTACAATCTCATTATTGTATTCTAATCGAATTTCAAAATATTTTCTCTGTATTGCACGATACCTAAGTTATAGAATTTTAAAAGTTCAATAATCAAACAGTTAATGAGGTAACTTTCAAGTGATTCAATATGGATTATATTCTCAATGCAAAGTCACATGTCAGAGTCTGTCAAAAAAAATTTTTTCCGACACTTTTTGATCTGTAGTTTATAGCAACAAGTGATATCTTGGCTATAAATTATTAACAATAAGGGTGTCCGAACTATTCTTAATGAGAGAACAAAAATGTTATTAACAATTCCGCTTAATGCTGCTACTTTTAATGTTTACATAATTGGTTATTGTGCTCCTAGGTTCAATTTACACTACAATCTTTGTTTTTACTGTTTTGTAAAAGAAGCCTAGTATATAATTACAATGAAAACTTTTTTTCAACCACTGAACTGTGAATATATAATTTACTGAAAGGAATATATTATTAGAATAACTAATAGGAAAAGTGAAACGAGTAAAATGAGTAAGGGGAAGGGCTAGAATGGAAAAACTGTCTGATTTAATCGGGAAACAGAAAATTAAAAGAAAAAGAAATTGCTGATAATCTCTAGGTCCAACATGCAAACTTGACAATAAAACAAATAAAAGATATAAAACCTATATGACACTATTTTAAATATTCAATTTCCTAGCTTTAGGGAAATATGTTTCAACATTTTTCAAAAATATTTTAAACAATTGTGTCCATAAACACAAAATTTATATAGCAAATCTGAGCTTGTAAATATGACACTAGATTTGGTCATTGTCGATCATTTTGGCCTATACTCGCTGGGTTGGGTCAGACATAATTTTAAATTTTGCCATCTTCAATTTTTTTTTCTAAATCTGGTATTTCTGAACAAAATTCTGAACGCGTCTGACAGACCGAAATGATCGGGGGTAACAACCAAATTGCAGGTTCATCAGCCTTCAGGCCAGAGGAGGAAATCTCGCTTAACTTTCTTTTTATAATGGTATTTTCATTGACTTTCACACATGTCCTGCAAGTAGCACTTTGCTCCTAAGCACTAATATCCATGTCAGTCCCTTGAAGAGCATTATAATAAAGTTTTACTGTATATTCTCAATTTTTCCAGATGGAAATTAGAAAAGAAAGACAAAAGAACGGACAGACAACTGCATGGCAACCCAAGCATACGCAATTAATACAGAGAATGTAAAATGAAAGATGGCCGTTAAAGAGGAAATTATTCAAATTTTGACTTCTGGTGCACTCAAATTTAATTTTGTGCCCTATCAAATTATAAACAAGTACATAACTTGAAGTTTAAAAATAATATAAATAAATAAATAAATTTATATAATTTTAACTATGGATGTAACAGTTAAAGGTTGAAGGGATGTAGAGTATTTAAAAAAAAAAAAAATTGTTCACAACACAAAATACACTTCAACCCTTTTGCTTTCTAAGTGTTGATATAAATATTTCAATGTAATTTCAGTGTATGTAGGTTTATGTGTATAAAATCCTAATGGTATATTAACACACATACATACCTACACATTCGCTAGACCACAGAAAATAACATGCACACATACATATTCACAAATAAATTTAATGTATTTTTATGTTTTTTCTTCAATGTTTTCAAATAGTATGCAATAGAGTTATCACATTAAGGCGAATCCTTCCTTCTTTCCCTCCCGTAAGAGATTGAGTAGAATCTACTCGAGACTAGAAATTGAACAGTGCTAATGTCCAGGGGGTATTGCATCCGTTTGTTTAATTTTATGTCTTGGAGAGGCCGGAATCTGAGGTGTAGAATGAACTGATCCAACTTGCACATTAGCACGCTGAGTAGGTCGGGATGATGGGACTGCTAAAGATGTAACTATCGTATCCTCCTTAACACTAGTCTCTGCAAGTTTTCCACTTAAATCTTCTACTAATGAAGGTAAATTTGTCGCCTTGCATTTTTCAATGTCAAAGGGGGTCTCGGTTAATGTTGATAACATCAAATGTTGAGTAAAAAGGCTCCTTGCTGCCCGTTCCTCCTCTAAAACCTCGCATTCTTCTTCAGTTAAGTTGTTTTCTAAATATCTGTAAAATGAACTCCTTTAATCTAAATGTGGAGACCTTATAATATTATGTATGACATCAGAGAAAAACTACTCAACATAAATACAGTAAAACCTCCGTTATCTGAGGTAAGACGGGGAGTGGGGTCCATGGAAAATTTAAAAATCCCAGACAATGGAATTTCTCTTTTTAATGCGTTAATTGAAAAGTGCATTGTTAACTTTTTTTTATATCAAAGAAATTCCAAAAGGTCAAATCGAAAGTGGAAAAATGGCCTTCACAGTAACAATGTCAAAGCAAATAATAAAGGCCTGTGACACCGATTCGATTCCTCAAAGAACCCCACCCAAAACCTCAAAGTACAAGCTTCTAAAAGTGGTTTTTTTCTTTCTTCCTGACAACCACAATGAATGTATCCAATGTAGACAGAATGGGAGTTTCATAGGAATAAAACAAAAGACAGCGTTCTTCGAATCAGAAGTGACTTATTGCTGTGTAAAATATATACCTGTATACATAGACTCTGGATAACGAAGATTTTACTGTAAATATTTTAGAAATTCAGACAAACTAATAATATAACCTTTACAAATTACCTTGTAAGTAATAAATGGGAAGGGTGGTTTTGCGACGAGTTTTCTTGAGACAATATAGAAGATGTACTAAGACCAACCCCAGGAGAATTACCGACAGGTACCAAAACTTGTTGCGACCCTGTGGGCCGCCTTGGCATCCTTTCTATTTGTTGACGTGCAGCCTTAAAAAAATATAATTCAAAGTAGTAATGAATACTGAAAAAATTCGAATACAATTTAATTATTTATTTTTTCACATATAATTAAAATATTTTAATTTTGATTACAAATGACAAATTAAAAATGTATTATCTTGTATAATTGCTAAAATAAATTTTTACCCATGTTGAAAATTTATTTAGTCAATATTTTGCTCATTAAGCTGTCAGTTTCCATTTGTCTTGGTCAGAATATCCTCAAAGTTTTAATCAGTCATCATTGTGCTATCATCAGTGGAGAGTTTTGTGTGTTATTTTATTTAGTCAACTGTGTATGTTTGTGAAATGTTAAAGGGGTAATAATTTATATTAATATTATATAAAATATTTTATCTTATTATTGGCTTATAAATTTTAACTGTGGCAAATTAAATTTTATCTGACTTTTTTGTTTTACTTTTTTTTTCAAAATATGCTTTTCCTGCCTTTGTTGTGCATGTATTTCAATATATTATTACGGATAGGATTTAGTCTTAATAAAAATAAGATTGAGACGTATTGAACAGGGTTTATAGTTTATCCGTAATAAAAAAAAATAAAAACAATCAAGTGTAATTAACACAAACAATTATATTTACTGAATACAGCCCAATTGTTTTAGCCAAAATTTTCGTCTAAAAAATATTTTAAAAAAAGATCTTTAATTTCTTTTTTCTTCAATGAATAATTTATTCTACTTATATCACAGTGATTAGGAAGCGAAATCAATTTTAGTTGTCAATTTGAATCTTTCCACACAGGGGTTTCTTACAAATGATTCTAAATCAAACTTCATTTTTGCAAGAATTAATATGAAGTTGTACAATAATTGTTATTACAATGTAATTAAATTTTTTTTTAAATAATAAAACAAAAGTTATTTTACCTTGTTTTGTTTACCACAGCTGATTAATTGTACCAATATTGCTTCAAACAGAGTTCATTTTTCTCTTTACAGCACCTGATTTCACAAAACAAAACTTACAAATCACTAGTGTTGCCGATGTTGAACCGAACTAAGTACCGATTAGAATTCATAAATTAAACCTAACATTTTCTAATTCAGACCAACAAGATCTGCCAATATTTTTAATCCAACAACAATGTATATTTCAAAATTTCAATTCCGGACAGACCCCCAATTTATTACGAATAGGATTTGGTCTTGATGTTAAAATTAGAACGAGACATATTGAATGGGGTTTATAATATATCCGTAATAAAAGAATTAAAAACACTTTTCAAGTGTTAATTAATACAATCAAACAATTATATTTACTGAATACAACCCCACAAGCATATTAGCAAAATTATGATACATCTCAAAATTACAATATTTATAAGAGAATAATCTCACCAACCTTGCTGTACGGAACACGGCTAACAATGACTAAATCTACCTAATGCCCAGCTGGTGCAAAGCCATCTTAATGTCCACAGCCAACTTAATTATTATTAATTAATATTAACAAATTGTAACTATATGTACATTTTAAGCACCCTTTAAAGTCTGTAAATAGAAATTTTAATAGCAAACAATAAAAGTATATTTTTGGGCTTAGTCATCCAGCAATTTTTCTCTTCGGTGCCCTGTAGTTCTACTCAAAAATTCATTACTCTTCTGGATTTTATTCAAATTATTAGACGTTATTAGAATTGTTTCTACTTTCAGCCTATATCAAAACAAGGATTGGATTGTATGCCATTATAATTGTGAAAAATTAAGGATGAAATCAACATAACTCCTCCCCAGATGTTTTATTTTATTTATCCAGTTTCCATTTTTTAAGGATTCAACAGCTGTGCCATTGCGTGTAGTTTATAGTGTTCTAAACCTCTGTAAAAAAATTCCTACAGATCAGTGGAGCCGTTTCAAAGTTATCACCATTTTTAGGATTTTCAATAAAAATGAAAAGCAAAAATCTTGAAAATAAAATAAAATGTTTTTCCTCAGTTTTTTGAATTGTAAAAAACCAAATATCAACTTTGTTTTGACCAGGACTTGGGCTATGCTAAGTCCGTCATTGGCCAAAGTATCTGCCTGGGTGAAATTAAACTCTACTCTCTTTTTTTAATCAAAATTTATTGTTTCATCAAAATAAAAAAAACAAGTAAAACAAAAAGAAAATTAACTCACTCAACAAGTTGGCCTGGAAAGGATGAAATTGAATTTATTTTCTTTATTTTTAATCTAAAGACTGTATAAGGATTAGTAACAGTCTATAAAGGTATAATTAGTAATGTTGTGTTTATGTTTTAAGTCAACTATTAATATTCATACCTAGTTACTATGTAAAATAAATGTCTTTTTTTTTGCCTGTGAGTGTATATCTGGTTTCATTTAATAAAATCTTACATATTATTTTCTTATTCTACTTAAAACACAAATAGATCTTAAAAATTCATGCACAATAAAGATAGAAAACTATATTTCAAAACATTATGTAAATTACCCAAAAACTGAGGGGGCAATTGCCGAAAATGTGCAACTTTTTAATGAGGGTATTTGACTACGATTGTATTAAAAAATAAAAAATCGAATCCGGGGCCTTTACCTTACGATGAACGCTGTGTCAATGCCTAAACCGTTGAAGTCATTGAAGCCCCCCCCCCCAAATCTAAAGTCTTATTTAAGTTTTTCTTGTTGTTCCAGTCAATGTATGTGGGTTTCAATTCCTGCTATTACTTTTAGATCTTCCTCATGATCTAATTTTGCATCTTAGTAAACATAGCCCAACAGTTTCTAATAATCTATTGTAATTATTTACTGCTTTTTTTAAACACATACCCTAACTTGTTGCCTTTCTAGCTGAAGCTGCATTTGTAAATGTTGCAGTTGTGACGGAGTTGACGTTTGGTTTCTTCGTACTCCTGACAGTTGTGACAATAGCTCCGCAATGGGGTCAACATTATCCCTTGAAGATGGGCTAATTGAAGCTAAAGCACCTGACGAACTATAAAATAATAATCAAATTATTATATAAGTAAACAAAATAATTGAATATGCATAACAAATTGTCTAATAAATAAAGCAGACTTCACTAAAGCTCTCCGTGGCCATTTCATTTGTCGTTGAGAATCCAATCCGATTACACGACATTTGAAAAATGGCAAAAAGGAGGGAATATTCAAAAGGTGGGGTTGAGATGGGAAGTTAGTGTCCGAGTGGATTGAGGTCACGATAGCTCAAGTGGTAGAGCAGCGGCGTAACAAGCCGAAGATCGTGGGTTCGAATCCCGCTCGTGCCATTGACTTTTTTATCTCAACCAAAAACTTTAATTAATTGTAATATATTAATTGGTCAAGCGGACCATGAAATTAGTGAATTGAATACAATGACTAGTGTTGAAAATTGCCAGGTAATTTCAAAATTCACTTTGAGCAAAATAAAATCGTCTTATAAAAACTTTAGTTTGGTCGTTTCTGATAATTTTTATTCTATCATTGCTGTTTTGATCTGTCACTTTTGGATACCTTCAATAGTGGGTTTGTATTATTTGTACATGAATGATAAAACTCACTGACCTCAAGGCCAGTCTGATAGACTACAACAGCAAGAATAGGCAGCTCAGATCTGAAACGATCAAACTACAGACTTTTTTTTACAAGGGTTCGCAACAGCAGAGGTTATATCAACCCTAGGGGTGCCGGTGTTTTTGAAAGAGAGAAAAAAAAAAAAAAAAGAAAAAAAAAGCCCATTTGTAAGTATGTCAGGTTCAAATGCAACGCCGCTGGATTCGAACCCAGGACCTTTACCTTACAGTGATGAGCGCCGTGTCAATACCTAAACCATTGCGGCCACCGATGCCCCAAACTTCAGGTTCGTCATCCATATACAGTAATTAATTTTCACTAAAAAATCTTGTTAAAATAGATCTAATACGCACCTAAAGTGCATATTGGAACGTCTAGCACGAGATGAAATCGAACGTGATGATGGTGCTGGAATAGTTCTACGGACACAAACATTATGGCGATTTTGGGGTTCATCTTAATCATAATTAAGGTAAAATAGTCACTTTATAAAATAATAATAATAAGATTAAATATTTGGCCAATCTAAAATCGGCTCATTTGAAATGAGCTTGAATTGGAACATGGTACACCACAAAGTAAATAATTCAAGTTAAATAATCATTGCATGCTGATAAAATCAAATAATTAAAATATTACACATTTTGTGCAATTTGCAATCAAAGGATATTAAAAAACTTATAAGATCTCTTGAAGCGTTACGATGTTCAAGAGTTAAGTGACCTGCGAAGTCATCCGTCACTAAATTCGGATCTCCTATTGGTACTGCTGCACAAATAGGGCATACCTAAATAAAAATAAAGTGTTATGTAATTTAATTTTAAAAACATTAAATAAATAAATAAATTACTTACTACTTCAAATGACACATCAGCATGTTCGGCTGTGACATGTTCTAATAAAGAGGCTTCAGTGAAACCTAATTTTCCGCAAAATGGACAGGTAAAAGACTGGGGCTGATCGATTGTTAGTGCTTCACCACCAAAGTATAAATCTGAAAAGAAAACTTGTTAGTATTATTTATTGATGGGATCATTTCATGCCTGAACTTGATTTTGATCTATTTAACGACGTACCGTAATCAGTTCGTGTTAGAATGCATTGCATTGGATGGTCGGTAGTATGTCGCGTTGTCGTTGAACCTGCTTCGTAACAAGTGGCGCATAAATCATAATCGTAGCAGATTAGACACTTATATCTCTTCCCTCGAAAATTCCCTTTCAAGCACGAGTCACAGCTCACCCCTGGTAAAATAAATAGAAAAATAAAATTCATTAGTTAGTCCAAATTTATAAATTCCTGCAATTTTCCATTTTAATTTTAACTTTTACAAAAATTAATCTTTAAGGTATTGGTCGAGATAAAAACCTTACTTAAAGATTAATTAATTGAAAAGAATATAATTGGTCAATCGGACCACAAAACCTAATCGATTTTACAAAAATGTTTATACCACTTGTTTGGATCATTGGGGAAAACTATGGGGTTGCCATTTAAACTTTTTTCCATAAAGAGTTTTCAAGAAAAGAGGTTTAGAAAATACACCCTGTATTGATGTAAAACAATTGCTCTTATTTTTATTTTATTTATATATTCAATATTGTTTCCCCCCTCAACAGTATGTCAGCATTTGTAAACTAGTTTCAGATGAGTTGACAAATCTATTCCATTTCTCAATATTTGTTTCTTATTTTTCTCTATTACAGTTATGTATGATTAAAGACAAGAAGCTAGCTTCTGCCGTTTTTCCCATTTTCTTGATGATACATAACTAATATATCTGTTCTTATTGAACCAGCACTGGGTCACTTATAGGGTCCGTCTATAGTCGTGGGTTTTTGATGTTACTGAAATGCACGGCTTTGCGCCATCTTCAGTGAGGAACTATCTGATTTCTGTTCTTTTCAATTCCTTCTTCCAACTCCTTTGTTCTTTCTTTACTTTTAATATCAAGGGTTTGTGTTAAAGTTTTGAACTCATACAGTAGTCAAGATCAGCCTTGTGATTATTTATTACTTTTTGACTTTGTATTTTGGCACTTTTCGTGGTTTTTAGAAGCTTTAATCATACCCCAAAGAATTATAGTCGAAATAGTCACAGACTTCCAATCCACTCCAGACTAATTAGCTTATTTTCTTAATTTACAAACGTCGTGCATTTACGTATAACATTTATCCACGAGTGTAGATGATCCCAGTGCAACATGAGTTCAACAGCTTGCAGACCAACATCCACCATCTACACAACAATTACACATTTCTCAACTTATGTTTATGTCACTGCCATATTATTCTAATTTTTCATGATTAAAAAGTATTGCATTTTGTGGTGGTGAATATCCAATTCTCAAGTATTGTCATGGTACATTATCTCATACCATATCTTCAGTGGTACATCTGTATCTTATCATATAGCCAAATAATAGTATATTAAATTAGTTAAAATTTAAAAGAAAAGTAACATTAATGTGAGGTTAAGTGGAAAGTGCAACTTATGCAAAAGAAAATACCATGTCCAGTGTTACAATACCCGTAACAAGTGCGGGACATCATTGAGGTTTTTGTGCAGTTCAAACCTTGAGGATTTTTTTTAATCATGTTTCTGTGGTGAATCCCTGAGGTTGGTGGCGTTGTTAACTGTTAAATCTAAAAAAAATCCTGAAGGTTCGGAAACACTGGCCTCAAAATGCACATGGTTTGGCAAAGAGATTTGATGTCCATAACATTTCAAAAGAAATGTACTACAATCCACAAAAATGTAAATTTGTAAATCACAATTACGATTAAAGACAAGAAACTAGTCGACATTCAATGCAAGTTTTTTAGTTGAGATAAAAAAGTCACGAGCTGTATTCGAACTCACGACCTTCGGCTAAATATGCCGCTGCTCTAACCACTTGAGGTATCGTGACTTGGATCCACTCGGACACCAACTTCCCATCTCAACTCCACCTTTTGAACTTTTCCTCCTTTTTGCCATTTTTCAAATGTCGTGTAATCTATTTGATTCTCGGCGACAAATGAAATGGCCACGGAGAGCTTTAGTGAAGGTATACTTCATTTTAACTTATTAAATTCCCTAGTTTTCGTGATCTGCTCGAACAATTAATATATTTCTATTAATTAAGGTTTTTAGTTGAGATAAAAAAGTCACAAGCAGGATTCGAACCCACCATTTTTTTATCTCAACTAAAAACCTTAATTAATTGAAAAAATTGGTGAAGCGGACCACGAAAACTAGTAACTCAATGCACTTTTTTTAAAAATAGCATTTCAGTCAGATCCACATTTTAATTTCACTTCTCACCACTGGATCGGTCTACACATACGGTAATCCATGAATTAAACAGCTATTATTCTTTACTTGTGGATACTTTAGAGTATAGACTGGCCTAGTGACAGTTCATCGTAAGTTCACTGACTCAGATCATTACCCACCATCAATTTGAACAATTATATTTCTCTCAGAATATCAGAAGCTAGAGCTATTGGTAATTAAAAAATAAATAAATAAATAAAATAAAAAATACAGGCTGATCATAGCAATCTTTTATTTTTTAAATTCAACATTTTAACACCAACCCTCGATATTAAAGGAAAAAAAAGAAAGGAATTTTGACATAAAAAAATCTAGCATTAATTCTGACAAATATAATACTTCCTGTTCATGTTGATGGTTATTGGACTGAGTCAGTGAACTCATGTTGAATCATCACTGGGTTCACATACACTCGCGGGACATCCATGTATAAAGGAAATAAGCTGGTCTAGAGTGGACTTTGATGTCTGTCTGTGACCATACTGACCATAACACATTGAAGTACGATTCTAGCAACTCAAATTCCAGAAAAGAGCCAAAATGCATGGGCAAAAGTAAGAAATAAATCACAAAGCTGATTTTGTGAGTGTTTTTTGTTATAAGTTTTAACATTTTAATACCAACCTTTGATATTAAAATAAAATAAAAAGGAATGGAACAAAGGCACCAAAAAAATTAACAGCGCTAACTTCTGGCAGAAATATTATTGTTCATGTTGATCATTGTTGGTCTGTTGTTGAACTCATGTAGTTTATGTAGTTCATCTACCCTAGTGGGTATCCATGAATAAAAAAAGTATGCTAGTCTGGTAGGGACTTTGCAATATGTTTGTGATTATATAAACTAAAACTCATTGGAGTATCTTTCAAGCTTCTTAAAACCCCGAAAAGGGCCGAAATACATAGGAAAAGTAATAAACAAATCACTCAGTTGATCTTGGTGAATGTATGTTTTGTTTATTTATTTATTTTTTTTTAATAAGTTCAACATTTTAACACGAACCATGGATGTTAAAATAAAAGAAAAAAAACAAACGTAGAGGAATAAGGAATTTTACTATAGTCAGTCACAAACATATTTCAAAGTCCACACCAGTCAAGCATACTTTTTTTCATGGATACCCACGAGTGTAGACAAACTAAATGATGGTTCGACATGAGTTCAATGACTCTTAGACCAACATCCACCATCAACATGAAAAATATTATATTTCTCACAGAACATTACCATGGTTAATGCAAGATATTTTTTGTTTTCGAGATTCCTTTGTTTTTTCTGTTCTTTTAATGTCAAAGTTTGGAGTTAAAATGTTCAACTTGTAAAAAAACCCTCGCCAAAATCAGCCAAGCGATTTATTTATTACTTTTGCCTATGCATTTTGGATTTTTAGAAGCTAGAATCATACTTCAATGAGTTATAGTCAATATAGTCAGAAAAAAGTCTTCAGAGTGCACTTCAAACTAGCTTATTTCTTTTATACATGGATAGCCTGGGAGTGTAAATTGAACCAGCGACAATTTAACATGAGTGCACCGACAGTGTATTATGAGCTAGACTCATACTCCAGCGAATTATTCTTTATTTGCTGATACCTGCAATTGTAGGCCCAGTTTCGATTCAACAACACGCAGACCGAGTAATATTCGGTTCAAAAAAAAAATCTCGCATTAACCTTGGTACTACTCTGTGAAATATAAATGTGCAAAATGGCGGTGTGTGATGGACTGCAAATCATCGAATCAGCACTTGGCTCATCTGCAATCACGATTATCCACGATTAAAGAAAAGAAGCTAGTCTAGCATGGACTTTGAAGTCTGTGACCATATCGACTATAACTCATTGTTGTATGATTCTAGCTCTAAATATTCTGAGAGAAAAACTATTGTTCATGTTGATAGTCGGTATTGGTCTGCAAGTTGTCGGACTCATGTTGAACTGTCATAGGGTTCATATGCAACACCGACCCTGGAAATTAAAAGAAAATAAACAAAGGAAGAGGAAGAAGGAATTTTGAAAAAAAATCTTGCATTAATCTTGGTAATAATCAGTAAAAAATATAATTGTTCAAGATGACAGTTGGTGATGGTCTGCGAATCATTGAATCAACATTGGGCCCATCTGCAATCATGATTATCCACGAATAAAGAAAATAAGCTAGTCATGTGTGGACTTTGAAGTCTGTGACTATCGACTATAACTCATTGTTGTATGAGTCCAGCACCTATTATTTTGACAGAAATATTATATTTGTTCATATGTTCATCACATATTGTTGATGGTCTGCGAATTGTTGAACTCATGTTGAAATGCCATAGGGTTCATTTACAATATGAACCCTGGATAATAAAAGAAAAGAAAAAACAAAGTAAGAGGAAGAAGGAATTTTGAAAAAAAAAAATCTTGCATTAATGATTATTTGTAGATCGTGAGATGCGGTCTGGTGTGACATAGATTTAGAAAATCATTTTCTTCATCGTGCCAATGTTTCCATCTTTATAGAGATCATCTTCAGGGCCAGGGATTTATAAACATTGTTTAAATCATACAAACACATATAAGATGTGAAAAAATGAATTTATACAATGACAGAAATTTTAGATTTAATCAAACTATTTGTACTCACTCAAAGTGTTTGTTTTCTGAAGTCTAAAATTTTTATCATTGTATAAATTGATTTTTCACATCTTACATGTATTTGTATAATTTAAACAATGTTTATAAACCCCAGGGATCTCAATAATGATCGAAACTTTGGCACGATAAAGAAAATGTTTAAGTAAACCTACGTCACACCAGACCGCATCTCATGGTCTCCAAATAATCATTAATGTCACTAAGCACCACACATTTCTTGCATTAATCTTGGTAATATTCTGAGAGCAATATTTGTTCAAGATGATGGTATGTGATGGTCTGCAATGCAGTGATCCTACGAAGAACCAGTACTTGGTCTGTTCACTCTCAAGTATCCATGAATAGAGAATAGCAGCTTCTTTCATGGATAACCACAAGTGTAGACAGACCCAGTAGGGGCAGTGAAATTAAACTGCGGACTAATTTCTTGTCTTTAATCATGGACAATTAGAATGACAGTGTCATAACAGAAGTTGAGAAATGTAAATAGATGTTTCATTTAAAATAACTTTTAACAATAACAAAACAAAAAAACATGGAAATTATACAATGTTGCAAATTGCCCAAGACTTGATTGTCTGTAAAGAAGTGGTTCAAAGTTTCATCCATTTTCTTAACCATATTTAGTTGGGAGTAATTTAAAACCTGGGGTTGACCCAAGCCTTAAACTCTTTGTCCCGAAATACGAAAACCATTTAGCATAAATTTAGATGAGATTTAACATTTGATTATGGTCGGGGGGGAGAGGAAAAGTTGTTTCTATAAGTGTCACACGAAAAAAAAGGTGTTAAATTGGACTGGTCTATTTTAAAAATTTAATTTATTATATAACTAGCTGCGTGTTATGGTAAAAGTCGTAATGCGATTTCGAAAATAAATCGGCCGTCAGAATTTTTTTTAAAGTTGTAAACGAAGCCTTCAACTTAGCAAAATAGAGCCGAATCTGCTTATTCCGAAGTACAGAGAGAAAAAGGAGGATTTTTTTTAAAGGATTGTTTTGTAAAATAATAATAAAGGAATAAATTGATATATTGCGATGAAAAGATTTTACGCGACGGGAGGCCAGTCTGGGCGAAGGGCTTTTTTGTTGCGGGGGGAAGAAAAAAAGGGCTTTTTATTCTTGAACGAAGGGCCGACGAATTTAATCTTCGGCCAGGTTCTAAAAATATAAACAAATTCCCTTGCGTCTTACCTTCGTGACGTGACATCGTTCAACGAAAGCGGCCGACGGACGGGGCTGGCGATTTGTTGGAGAGGCGGCAGCGACTTGGGAACGTGTTTCGAGCCTGAATTTCGAGACCCGGCGAATCGCGTCGACCGACTTGGAACACCCGACGTTGAAGATTTGCCGACGTTTCGAAATCAAACTACATCGCCTCTGGGGTGGGAAACGAAACGGAAATCGAACTGGCTAACGATGACACCAGATGACCATAGTCGTGAATCGGCCACTCGCCGTCGCCTTCGCCTCACCCAGGGCACTCGCAGTGTTGACTCATCGACAGATTTTCTTCCATTCTCTTTTCTTCTTTTTTTATATTATTTGTACAATTATTTCGACACGGTTTTACGTTTTATAATTACTTACAGTCCTCTCTCTTGAACGGTTTTGTTAAAAAAATCAGTTTTATCCTCTGACAAAAAGGGCGCCCTTCCGCTCGACGGTTTGACCGAGCAAGAAATGACCCAAATTACAAGTTTATTTAACTGAAAAAATCCTAATTACAAAAAAAATATATATAATTACTATATAAACAGCCATTATAATTATTTAATCATAACTAAAGAACAAACCTTCAACTACAAAAATTTGATAGTAAAATGACTCAAAATTATGTATGTAATTATCAGGTATTGGTCAGAATCAGAATAACTACATACTCAATAATTTTATTCGAACAATATTACTTCAACAGTTATAACTAAACTGCTCAAAAATGAATAGGGATATTGCCAATTCTTTAGTATTTACTTACTACCTTTTTTATTTTATTTTTATTATAAATAGCATTAAAATTTAGAAGAAATGTTTAGGTTTTTTACAGAAGGAAAATTTTATTAAGGGATTTTGAGAAATAAATAATTCCATAATTTTGTTTATTGGGCACAATATTTTTTTTAAACAATTAATAACGTGTATAATGTCCTCTGACAGGTTAAAACCTCTGTGCACTTGTTAGGCATACTGTTAGTAAAGTTGTCAATAATTAATTAAGGAATTTCACTCCATGTTGCAAAGTTGCACTCAGTTGTTGCAGATCGACTGGCTGCGGATGGTGATCGAAAAGCTTTCTCTGCAACGCATCACACATATGCTCAATGGGATTGAGGTCTGGAGACGACGGGGGAAGAGGCAGATAGTAAATTTCCAGTTTTTCTAAACATTGATGAACAACTTTGCCTCTATGAGGTCTGGCATTGCCATCCAAAAATCGAAAATCCCTGCTAATAATATCCCTGGTTTGAGGGATGTATTCCTCGATAATTTCATGGATATAAGGGACTGCGGCGAGGTTGCCTTCAATAATATGGAGTCCAGTTCGCCCTCCAGTGTAAATCCCTGCCCAGACCAATACACCATCTCCTCCAAACTGCACCGAAGGGAGTACGAACTGGGCCATTGTAAGCATCCCCTGTTCTAGGTAGACTCTTCAACGCCTGCAATCACTATGCAGATAGAAACACGACTCATCTGTAACCATTACAGGATTCCGATTGGTGTTCTCTTCTAGGTGCTCACTGCACCACATTCTTCTGAGTTGCTGGTGGTGGGCAGTTGCAAGGTCGTCTCAAAGGGGCATACGGTGTGAGGCCAACATCCCATAAACAATTGATAAAGGCCTTGCCAAAACATCCTGTAATTCGTTTAGGATCTGGCGGGCACTATGGAAAGGGTTCCGTTTTTCAGCAATGAGAATATTTCTTTCTTCCCTTAGCGTCGTAATGCGCTGAGATCCATTACCAAAAATTCTCTTGGCACTTCCAGTCTCTATGGGAAACGTATAATCATATACGTATAATCCCTTACTCATTCACTAATTCATTTATTCACACTTAATCTCTCCCCCCCTACCCCCTCTCTACCTCTTACACTCACTTACCCTATTTCTTTCTCTCATAATCTCTCAATCACTCACTTACTCACTCTTTCCAATTCTGACTCACTTATTCTCTCTTTATCCTCTTTCTCTCTCTTTTACACTCACTCAAAGACTCACTTTCTCCCTCATACTCTCCTTCACTCACTCATTTACTCTCTTTCTCTCTCTCTTTCTCACTCATTCAATCTTTCTTTCTCTCTAACACTCCCTCAATCACTCACTTTTTCTCTCACACTCTTTCTACTCACTCACTCATTCACTAATTTGCTCTCTCTCTTTCTCACTCACTCATTTTCTCTCTCAGTCACTCATCACTCTTTATCTCTCTTTCTCACTCACTCACTCATTCACTCTTTATCACTCTCCTTCTCTCTCTCTCTCTCTNCCTCACTAATTCACTCACTTTATCTCTCTCCCTCTCTCTTACTCAGTTACTCTCTCTCTCTCTCTCTCTCTCTTACTCACTTATTCACTCTTTCTCTCACAGACTCACTTTCTCACTTATTTTTTCAATAACTTAGTCACTCACGTTTTCACACTCTCACTCACTCTTTCTCTCTCTCTCTCTCTCTCTCTCTCACTCATTTACCCTCTCTCTTTCTCCCACATATTCACTCTTTCAATCACTCATTTATTTTCTCAATCACTCACTTACTCTCTCTCCCCCTTTTTCTCACAGACTTACTCACCCCCTCACTAATTCATTTATTCGCTCAATCACTCACTTACTCACTCATTCACTCTTTATCACTCTCTCTCTCACTCACTCAATCACTCACTCTCTCCTTCACACTCACCCTCTCACTCACACTTCACTCTCTCCATTCCTCCCCAAATACTGATTCTTTCTTTCTTTTAAAATCCATACTGCTTGAATTTTCTTCTAATTCGGTGTACTGGAATTTTCGAATTAGGGAGAAAGCACTGTTTATATTGGTATACATCACGTTAAATAAATGAATAAATGCAAAGAGAAGAAATGGAATGGAGACAGTTGAAGATCGCAAGCCGGTGTTTGCGGAGAGTTTGAATTTTGGCGGCCAACCCAGGCTGAGAGACTTTCCACGATTTAACGTAGAAAAGTTAAGAGGCGATAAAATAATTGTAAAATAATCGTTAAAATATCCAACGTCGTAAATGTGAAAAGGTGTCGAAAAGGGTCGGACGTGGAAATGCGACGTTGGCCGGATAAACGATGAAAGCCGACGGCGACGGGACGGTTTCGGTTGGGTTGGCCGGATTGCTCTCGACTCTCGTGCTATTTTGCACACTTCGGCCAGTTTTAGTTTTATTTGTTCGCCTCCGAGTTTCCGACTCTAACCCAACAAACGTGGACAGTCGGACAGTCGGCGGATCCGAAGTAAAAGAAGCCAGTGTTTGGCCATTTGAAAACAGGCCCACGAGTCATTTCGTTTAATTATATCCGCCAGTTGGTTAACCGACTTTATTAAATGTCAGAGCCACAGTCTGCTCTACTACTAAGGAAGCAATTAGCAGGTATCGACAGTTTATTTTTATTTTTACAACCCTCGGCGTCTGGTGGCAGACGTGCTTTTTTCCCCAGATCCCGGACAGATTTTATTCGTCTTATTCGATCCGTCCGGGATCGGCAGAAGCATCGTCCTTCGGGCATCGCCGCCCCCCATTTTTTCCCCGTCTCTTTGATTTTAACTCGCTGTATTCCGTCCTGTAGCCCTTTTCCTCGGCCCTTTTTTCCGTCCTAGGCCTTTTACCGGACCTCGTCCGTCTTCGTCACCGACCCTAAATCCGCATGTTATTTCAACACATCCGGAAAAACCTAAATCCCGCATCGACGCTCAACGCACCATTATTTATTTTCCGTTAATTATTATAAATTATAATTCTTCCATTAATATGTTTTTTTACCTCATTAAGATTAAAAAACGATTTTTAAAAAGACCTTCCCACTCCACCGCCCATTAGTCATCATTTACTTAGAATATTCGGTGTTCCATGTACTCGTCAGTTTATTGACTTGATGGAAATGGTTACGCGTTATAACTTTCAGGTCGAAAGTTTTTAAGCTCACCAATGCCCTAGCCGTAAAACCATAGCCCGAAAGAAGTAATAGTTTTATTACCTTCATAAAAAAAAAAAACAACCTACCAGTGGTGTGGTTAAAAATTTCTCTTAACACGTTTCGAAGAAAACGAATTTTCTCATTTTTATCGGAATTGAATGCGTAATCGTTTAATTTGAATTAAATTGACAGGTTTATTCCTGGTTTCACTACGTGAATATGATCAAACAATTTGTACAAACACTTTTTATATCAGTAGAGTAAATGTCTACTTAAAAATAAAAAAAGATTAAACCAGTGTTTCCACTTTACAAACTAGTTGTTTGCCATGGGTTCAAAATTACAAAATATTGCTTCATTACAAAGTACATTATTAGGTTATTCTCAATGACTGTATGCTTTGTTTTATTTGTAACTTTTAAGCTTGTAAGATGAAGCTAAACATTTAAAAATTTAAGTTGTTATTTCATCGTATTGATACCCATGAAACATTTTTGGCAGCTGATTCACCTAACCATTCTCTTTGAACTTTTGTACAACTATGATTCATATAAAAATTAAAGTAAAATTCCTCCTCACTAGCGATTTTGGTCTGAATCCCAGCATCGGCTTCGGAAAGTAATTTGAAAACGGTATGACGAAGTGGTTCTCACTGTTCATCCGACCCAACGAACAGTTGGATGTTAAGACGTCCTGAAAGACAGGAATTAATTTCTTTTCCTCAGAACGAATTTTAATACCTAAAGTTATTGACCTCTCCAATTAACTTATTTGTCATCTAGATGGATTTGTCAGGTGTGTCAACTCTCTTATGAAACACTGACGATGGTGAAATTACGAAACGTGACAGATCTCACCAACCGAAGATAGACCAAGTTGATCGGAAAAGTTCAAATTGCAGGATATTCACCCAAAAGACCAGTGGAAAAAATTTCATGATTTAACAAATATTTTCGCTCGTGATATGAAGTTTATAACTTTATTGACATGAAATAGTTATTATTTTTTTATATCAATATTGTTTCTATTTAATCATTGACGTATGTCCTTCCAGTATTTTTGGCAGCTAACTTGCATAACCATTCTCTTTGAACTCTTATGTACCTACGATTCACTTAAAAATCAAAGTAAAATTTAAATCCGTACACATTTCTTCTGTATTTTCCACACTATTAAAATGAATAAAATGAAATATTAGTTTAAAAAAAAACCCACAAATGTTTTATAAACTCTACTGATCTTGTTGACCAGCCTATCCTTACCGGTTGGTCTGTCAAACTTTTCAAATCTCTTTTGAATTAATGACGAAACGTGACAGTCCAACCCAGCGAGGATAGGTAGACCAAGATGTTTGGTGAAGTTCAAATTTAAGGTCATTAACCATGCATACCACTGGGGAAAAATCTCATCATTTAACAAATATTTTAGCTTGTGATATGATTTTTGTTACTGTTTTGACATGAAATTGTTAAATTCATGTTATATCAACATATAGTTGTTTTTTCTTCATTGACTGATGTCAGTCCAGTATTTTTGGCAACTAATTCACATAACCATTCTCTTTGAACTCTTGTACACCTACGATTCACATAAAAACCAAAGTAAAATATAAATTCGTACACATTTCTTCTGTATTTCCGACACAAGCGATTTCAATCTGAATCCCGGCATAGGCTTAGGAAAGTAATTTGAAAACAGTATGGCAAAGTGAACCGTGTCACTCAACAGACGTTGGATTTTAAGCTGACCTGAAGGCCAGGAATTACATTCTTTTTCACTTTTTCTCAATACAAATTTTGCTCTGTAAAGTCATCGTATGAATAAAGTTTTAATTTTGTCCGACCTTTCCAATTGACTTATTTGCCATCTAGGACGATTTGTCAGGTGTGTCAAGTCTCTTATGAAATCCTGACGATGGTGAAATTACGAAACGTGACTGACCCCACCAACCGAAGATAGGCAGACCAAGATGATCGGAAAAGTTCAAATTGCAGGTTATTCAGCCCACAGACCTCTGGAGAAAATTTCATGATTTAACAAATATTTTCACTCGTGATATGAAGTTTGTAACTTCATTGACATAAAATAGTTTTTTTTTATATCAACATTGTTTTTATTTCATCCTTCCAGTATTTTTGCCAGCTAACTTGCATAACCATTCTCTTTGAACTCTTATACACCTATGATTCACTTAAAAATCAAAGTAAAATTTAAATTCGTAACATTTTTGATGTACTTAGGAAAATAATTTAAAAACAGTCTAGCAAACTGATTCTGACCACTCGTTGGTTCAACGGATAGTTGAATGTTAAGCTGTCATGTAGGACAGGAATTACTTTCTTTTTATACATTTTCTTTGTCTTTTTCTATTGCTACATTAAATAAACAAATATTAGTTAAAAAAAAAAAAAAAGATTTATAAACCCTACTGATCTTCTTGGGCTGCCTATCCTAACCGGGTTGGTCCCTTTTGAATCAGTGACGAAACGTGACAGTCCAATCCAATATTTTAGCTTGTGATATGACCTTTATTACTGTTTTGACACAAAATAGTTAAATTTTTGTTATAACAACACAGAATTTTGAACTCTTGTACACCTACAATTCACATAAAAATAAAATATAAATTTGTATACATTTCCTCTGTTTTTGCCTCACTAGTGATTGGTCTGAATCTCGGCATAGGCCATAGAATTTTAATTGAGAATAAATTAAAAAAAAAAGTATGGCAATGTGGTTCTGACCTTCATCCGTGACATTCAGTGGATAGTTGAAATTCTTACTTTTTACACATTTCCTCTCTACGAAATTAACTAACAAAAATCGACATATGAACAATGACTCAGTCTCTGGTCGTCTCCTGTATGATAGGATTTTCTTTTTTCAAATTTCTTCTGTAGAAAGTGTCAGTAAATTAACTAGTCATCATTTGAAACACTTCATTTTGTCTGCACTCTCGAATTATAGGTAATGCGACCACAATTATGATTTATTAGTATATAAAAGAATATAATTTTTGGTTCTTAACAACAATGTTTTATGACTATCTCGGTCCTGCTTATACTCTCTGGGTTTGTCTGTCAGATGCATTTCAGCATAGATGAATGTCCAGCCCTCCTTTATGACAGGAATTACTTTTTACTCATTTCCTTCGTACAAATTTACCTCACAAAAGTCATCGTATGAACAGTCTTAATTTTGTTCGATTGTCTTTGGTCAACAACCTTTTCTGTCAGCAAATGAATTCTGCCATTATGTCATCTTTTCCCTTTTAATTTTTTTTTCTTTTTTTCAATTCATAATATTTAGCAAACAGCTCGGACCCCATAGCACAAATTTGGATTTAAAGTCATACAATTATTAGGATTTTCAATTCATGTTTTCATTAGGTCATACAAATTGCCAATATAGATACTCAAGATAATGAAATATTGAAATATTGTTTTCTGAAAACTGACTGTACAAATAAGAGTGGTTGGTTCATTAATTCTGCTCACAAATTTTCAACAGCCACCACCTAGCAATTTTTCACAGTCCATTCATGTTAAGATCATTGCTCGAAGGTTGTTATTTTTTAATTTTGTAACAACAAAAGGGCCTTGTAGTCATTAAACTTATATGAAGTAATCCAATTCATATTTCTGGACTCATTCTTCCTCCTGTTTTGCCCGGTATGTGAAAGTTGATTATGTTTCGGACAATAGTTACATCAAAGTAGTTACATAACATCATGACAATCCATGATAAATATATTTTTGCATATGCTTTTTGTTTTATTTATGCATTGTTCACTCACATCCTTTTTAATTATTATTCTCACTCGATTATTAGTTTTCCTCAATTAAAAAAAAAAAAAAAAAAAAAAAAAAAAAAAGAACAAATAGTTTTGAGTGAGTGCAATATATGTAATTTTTGTGGTCTTTCACTCATATTTTTCCACCTGCAGCAATTTGGATGTTTCGATCCGTTACTGACTCTCTCTTTTTGTATGGAAACTAAGTCGATATCATAAAATGCTTGCTAAAATTTGTACTTGATTGTCAACTACAGAATAGACACAAAACACACAATACATCACTACACACATAGAAGTCTGGTAAAATTCACTACATACATTTAAAAATACCCCTGAGGCACCTGAACCAGCGATCTGTGCCCACTGCTATGTCCCAATACTACAGGTCCGATGATATATCAAAATATTGCCTATAAATGTTAAGCCTTCTAAAATTGAAAATATGATCAATTGTTATTTTATTCTTGCTTAATGGGCACCTACCAGGTCACTCCGGCTAGAAGGTGCCCATGAGTTACTTTTGTATGACCTATCACGTCTTGTCAGTATGAATGAATGAAAGCTTTATTTACGCAAAAGTATATACATTAAATTTACATTTTGAAAAGCTATTGACAATGGCCTTAGCCGTCTGTCGAGTTGCTTTATAAATTTATATACCTGTTTTTGTAACTTGAGAATGACATTTGATTTTAAAAATTGAAGTGGTCAATCAGGTATTTTCGGTGCCGAAGGGCGTGAGTGAGGTACACCACAAGCATCATCTAGTTATCCCTTCTGTTAAGGATTGCAATAACTTCTTCATCCAGCTTCAGTTTCCCAAAGTACCTTTGGCGGAACTCTCTCAGAACGGGGCACACTCCCATGAAGTGGAGTGTCCTCTGGGACGTTGAGGTTACTTAAGGAGCAAATGATGGCACGGTTCTGTCTCCATGGTTCGCAGTTCAGCTGAAGCAATTCACCCCTCGCCCTCAAGACCAGAGACACCTCATAGGCTGTCGTATTAGAGCACTCCATGTAGTTTCGCCCTAAGTCAAAATCCACAATTTGTGATGTAAGCTGTTTCTCGCGCGGGTTACCAGGTCTTTCCTTTTGCTTGCTTCCCACTTTTTAATCAGGTCAGTGGTATTAGAGGACTTCAGTTCCTCTCTACTTACTCCTACACCATACAGCCTACCTAACTCTGACAGCTGTTGTGCCTTTATTTATTATTATGTCGGCCAAAAACTGTGTCAGTTTGTTAGCTGTGCGATTCAGTACTTTCCTAATATATTTTAAATGCAGGCTCAAAGTGTGACTGTAGAGTGGTTCTTGTCAGTATGTCACTGTTGTAATATCTTCTACTTATTTAAATTTTACAACAGAATTGGTCAATATAAACAGCATTGACGATAATAACTTTGAATGATGTTTGTTCTGAAAATACTTGTAATGGAAATTATGACAGAAAAAACTACTATGTTAAATAATTTATAATTAATTATATTTCAGAACTCAATAAGAATCCAGTGGAAGGATTCTCGGCTGGCCTTATTGATGATGATGATATATATAGATGGGAAGTGCTTATTATTGGACCTCCAGAAACATTGTAGTGAGTATTACTTTCTGTTTGTCCATTGAAATATGTACCATGTGTCTCATTCAATAGTTTTATCTTGTATAAAGAAAAATAATTTAATACTTCGAAATTTTCAGTGAAGGAGGCTTTTTCAAAGCACACCTTCTCTTCCCCAAAGAATATCCACTAAGACCACCACGAATGAAATTTGTAACCGAAATATGGCACCCTAATAGTGAGTAAATTCAAAGTTTTATTATCAACGCGTTAACATTAACTTAACTTAGTTAACATTATTCTTTTTGTAATTCACAGTCGAAAGGAATGGCGATGTTTGCATTTCAATTCTCCATGAACCTGGTGACGATAAGTGGGGGTATGAACAGGCATCAGAACGATGGTTACCAGTGCATACTGTTGAAACTATTCTAATATCTGTTATATCTATGCTTGCTGATCCGAATGATGAAAGTCCAGCAAACGTTGACGCTGCGGTAAGTAAACACAGGATAATTTCTGATTATTCAAACTTTTGGTTTTAAATAAATAAAATGTTGGCTAATCATGCCTGATTGTATACAAAAAAATGCTTGAATAAAAAATTAATTGTGTGCTATAAGCATTTCATAAAGAAATATTACACAATGTTACTTACATATCAGGTTGTAAAATAAGTCTGTAGCGTTTTTCAATGATAAATAAAATTACCATTAATTAAGGTTTGTAGTCGAGATAAAAAAGTCAATGGCATGAGCGGGATTCGAACCCACGATCTTCGGCTAGATACGCCACTGCTCTACCACTTGAGCTATCGTGACCTCGATCCACTCGGACACCAACTTCCCATCTCAACCGCACCTTTAGAATTTTCCCTCCTTTTCGCCATTTTTCAAATGTCGTGTAATCGGATTGGATTCTCGTGGGTTCGAATCCCGCTCGTGCCATTGACTTTTTTATCTCGACTAAAAACCTTAATTAATTGTAATATATTAATTGGTCAAGCGGACCACGAAATTAGTGAATTAGTAAATAAAATGAAAATTTTAGATACTTATAGACATATTTAATTAACAATGTATGAAACATTTTGTTCCACTACTTGTTGCCATTCTCCATATAATTTTGTAATTCTATCCTTCCAGAATGTCTCAAGTTTTTGAGTGGTGAACTCTTTGATGTGTTTTCTGCAGTCTTCAAGCAAAATAAAGATTTTTTTTCATTGAGTTTTGCAGAACATATAATAAGCGAAAATATGAAGGGGCAATGTCAAGTGAATTATGATGGATGGGGTAGCACATCCCAGCCGAGCTTTAACAATTGAAGGCCTTCCTTTAAAAAATGTTTTAACTGACAAAATTTGATAAATTGACTTTTTTATGTAAAAAGGTTCTTTTAGACTATGTCTGATGGTGTCATCTATAGGTCGATATTTGAATTTTTATGGCTACAGTGAACGAGCGGTTTGTGAAAAAAAGGTTCCTTCAGGTGGTTTGGTAGGGGCAAGGTCTGGAGAATGGAGGGTGAGGCATTACCACCTAACTCCGTGATTTTACTTGGAGTGAGTGCAGCAGTGTGTGAGGCCTGATGTCTTGGTGAAACACGACGTTATGTCTATTCACTAGGGATGGATGTTTTTCCTTCACACTGTCCAGGCTAGGCCACTGCATACTTCTGCCGAAAGGGTTTGAGTGGCAACAGTCACTAAATTTCTTTTCGAATATCCCACTGAACTGACAATAGGACCTTATGACATCAATCCAACTCTTCCTTGATGTCAGTGGCGGTATTTCATTCTTTTTGCACACAGTTGTGTGAAGGGTCTTCCTTGTTCCTGATGGACAATTCCTTGGTTCCACAAGTTTCTCAACGTAATCTAGAGATAGGATTCTTCGTTCTACTGTTGTGCAATGTACCTTAAATTTGATAGCTCAGTTAATTTGTCTTCATTCTCCAATGCCAGTAAGTTGTCAATTTTAAGCTCGTTAGGCATGCCACAACAAAGGTAGTTCTTGATTCATCTCTTAATTACAAAAAGGTCTGAAGTTTTGATGTTTTCTTTCTGTTAAAAAAAAATTTTTTTTTTAATATTTAACAGTATGCAATGAAATTGTTATTACAACTTTGTGGAATCTAGATTTAAATTTGTAATTAGTTCATAGGTGAAGAGAACTGGTTTCTAGCAAGTAGTACCCACAAGAAAAATTGATTTTCTTTAGTGATTATTCAGGTGGGTACTATTTGTCTTGTAAATATTCGCTTTTTTTCTATTTTAAGATAAGGCAGATGTGCATAACATTAAAAAAATATGTAGATTGACTACCGTTAATGGAGCATTGTACTCAAGTATAAAATGCTTGTTAATTACAAAAAGGTCTGAACCCACTGTAACATATCATCGTAAATTCCAAATAAATCTCGAGGCATCCGCTGCTCTTTGCTCGAGATAAAATTCATATAGCAAGCAGTGCTTAAATGAATTTTACCTGCTTCTGTGTTGTACAACTGTTTATTCTGGGCTGACTTTGGGATCAACTACTCCTTTCTTAATAATTATTTTAATAATGTTTTCCCAACACTACCTAAAGGGGATAGCATCGGGGTGTGGGTGAGGCTGGGCACGTGGGCTGGCCTCCTGGGTTCAGTTTGACCCCCAGAACGTGGGAGGGCTGCGGATGCTGGCACACCATGCGCAGCCCTCTGAGAAGTCTGCCACTGTCTTAACCACCAAGGTCTTGTGTGGAGAGGAGCTGATCTGGGTGTCTGGTTCTTGCCTGGTCTTTTGGTGTCCGGTTTGCTGTGGGGGCGCGCCTGCTCTTGATGTCCCTGCCCCTCCTGGCTTATCGCTTTCTGTTTTCTTCTCTTATTGATCAATTTCCACTTTAAGAAATGATCATTATATTGTAGAGTATCAATGAGCAGGCAAGTTATTGGTGTTTGAAGAAAACAACAGTGCTGGAACTAAAAGAAGGTTTCTTCTTACACAGATTCTTTGTTATGGAGTTGCGTAGCTTGGATAAAATATAAACAATTAATTAAGGTTTTTAGTCGAGATGAAAAAAAGTTAATGGCACGAGCGGGATTCGAGCCCACGATCTTCAGCTAGATACGCCGCTGCTCTACCACTTGAGCTATTGTGACCTCGATCCACTCGGACATCAACTTCCTATCTCAACCCCACCTTATGAGTTTTCCCTCCTTTTTGCCATTTTTCAAATGTCGTGTAATCGGATTGGATTCTCGACGACAAATGAAATGGCCATGGAGAGCTTTAGTGAAGTGTACTTCATTTTAATCATTAAATTTACTTATTTCGTGGTCCGCTTGACCAATTAATACATTATAATTAATTAAGGTTTTTAGTTGAGATGAAAAAAGGTTAATGGCACGAGCGGGATTCGAACCCACGATCTTTGGCTAGATACGCCATACACAAATATATTTTCTAATTTCCGAGTGACCGTATCTAGCCGAAGATCGTGGGTTCGAATCCTGTTGGTGCCATTAACTTTTTTTCATCTCGACTAAAAACCTTAATTAATTGTAATGTATTAATTGGTCAAGTGGACCACGAAATTAGTAAATTTAATAAAATACAAAGTTATTTATTATAATAATGAAAATAATAATAAAAATGGATCAATTAATTGTATTTTTGTCTTTATTTTGCAGAAAGAGTGGCGAGAAAATTATCTAGATTTCAAACGTAAAGTGGCTAGGTGTGTCCGGAAAAGTCAAGAGGAGTGTATATAGGGAAATTTCATATCAATAGGAACAAATGGTAAATCTTGTCCAATCTTAAACATAAATTGTGAACTTTTATTAAAATAAATTAAAAAATGTCAAAAATAATTATTTTCAAAGAATGTACATAACTTACTATAAACTAAGTATTGTCGACCATAAATAATATGATAATGATAAAATAAAGATTGAAAATAAAAGAAACATATTGAAAACCTTTTACCCACGTGAAGTACCCAAAATTTCATTACAACAATGTTTTATTCTTCTAGTATTGATTCGAAATTTGAACTTCTGAATGATTTTTTTTTTCTTCAGGTTGTCAGTCGTGAATATTGCTCAATTTTCATAATGCAGTTGTCCTTAATTTTTTTTATTTAAGTGGTTAAACGTTTAGATAAGTACTAGAATTTTGAACTTTATTGCAGTTATTTAAGAAAAAATTACAATGTATTTATAGAGGGTAATGTATACTTAGATTACATACAAAAATGAATAATTTAATAAGTTGATTCTTTTTAAAGAAGTTTTAAAATCTGTCGATGTTCCCAGTTTTACTGAAAAGCTGTAACATTTGCATAAAACAACATTAAAAAAAAGTTAAATTTAAAGAAACACAATGTCATACTAATTGCGTAAGTTTTAGTTATCTGTCTTTCATTTTTTCCCATTGCCTAATAATTTTTGTTTGTTTTTCAGATCAGAGAAGAGAGATGTGAATTTTTTTATATTGGTAAGATGGAACAGCCTACTTATATTAGTAAACAAATTTTTTACCCATATTTCCTTTTGATCATATTCATTGGTTAAAACATTGAGGTGTATATGGTTGTGCAGGGAATAACTTATGCTAATTAGAGTTCTAAATTCGTCGGCGAATGATTGCAAAGTGAAAGAATGAATGAATGCGTTTATACGCGTTTGAATATATATATATTGATATATATTTATATATGACTTATGGATATATATATAAACAAACGTGACTACAATTCTAATTTTAATTTAGTTATGCACTGCAAACATAGTACTCAGGAAGATATGGACAAATAATTTAGGTTTCTGAGGCCTCGGACTGCCACTTTTACTTTCTATTGGATGGTTTGTAATTCGGTCACTGTTGATGATTGGCCTCTAATAATTCTAAGTCAACTCTTCAAAACGGTTTGTTTTTGATGAGCAATTGTGTATGAATTTGTCAAAGTTTTGCATATGGAATTAGTTTGCTGTTTACTTTGATTGATTTGGTTTTATGTTAATTTAGTTTTGATGTTTTCTGTAAAAAAAAGGAAAAATAATAAAAAATATTTTTACATTTAACAGTACGCAATGAACTTGTTATTACAACTCTGTGGGAATCTAGATTTAAATTTGTAATTAGTTCATAGGTGAAGAGAACTGGTTTCTAGCAAGTAGTACCCACAAGAAAAATTGATTTTCTTTAGTGATTATTCAGGTGGGTACTATTTGTCTTGTAAATATTCGCTTTTTTTCTATTTTAAGATAAGGCAGATGTGCATAACATTAAAAAAATATGTAGATTGACTACAGTTAATGGAGCATTGTACTCAAGTATAAAATGCTTGTTAAAAATAAAATATGCTTGGTATAAATTCGAAACAACAGATTAAAAAAAAATTAATTACCCACATTATTTGTATTTTCAATGATTTTAAAGGGCGTATGGGTGAGATAACAATTTTTTCTTCACTAATATAATTATATTTTAATGAGTAGCTTTCAGACTTGAGTACAATTGCTGTTGACTCAATACTTTTACTTAATTGCATTTTAATTTTGTATTTATTTCATTTTATTACTGTATTTATGTAAGTGAGTTTGTTTTCTACATTTTAATTTATTACAAATTTTGTATATATTCTTAATTCGGTTATAAAACATTTTTTTTTTTCAGTAGAAATCAGGATTTTGTAAATGTGTACTATTTCTTTCATCGCACCCTAATGGCAATGGTTCATAATATGAAACAATCCTATATGCCTTAATTTCTTTTGTTAGGATCCAAATCGGTTAATTTTTTTTCTGGTCCTATGTGTTTTTTTCTGGTATTTTTGATGTTATGTGTAGTGTAGTTTAAATTGCCAAGGCTAAGTTCCATTGATTTTTTTAATATACATACATTTCAGAAAACAAATTGTAACACCCCTGTACATTGTAGATAATAAATTAAATTGCAGTTGTTTCAATTGGACAACGAAAAACATTTTGAGAGAGAAAAAATTGTACTCAAAATAAAAGCTATAGTCTTTGTTTATATAATCATCAGAATTGGAATTAATTATGCAATGTTTCTTATATTTAATTAAGTGTGAAGATTTTTAATTTATATAGTTGATTCTTTTAATGTATCAAATTTTACTCAAAATCAAATTGTGAAATAATTACTTATTAATTGGAAAATAAATTGTTATATTAAAATGAATAGAAGCCATTTTTTTCGTCTTCATAATTTTGTTGTTTTATTTTTTCAATTGTTGTTTGTGATTAAATTTGTATTGTAATATATCTATCAAGCATTCTTGATAACTTCTGCCTTTATACCAATAAAATCTCAATTGTTATTAAAAAAAAAGCTTGCTTTCTGAACCTTTTCCCGCTGAAAATCTTTTTTAGGCTGTTAAAGTATCACTTGTTGCTTTATTTTAGTTTTTACTTTATGTAGAAGGTTACAAGGAAATGACATAAATGGCATGTATCCATCTTTAGACAGGCTCTTAGACAAAAGAAAAATTTAAATTCATTTATACAGAATCCGAAAATTATTTATTAACCATCGGTGGCAAATTTAACAAAGCCTTTTAATTCAAAACAGTTATGGAATTTAATAAAGACCCTTCGTGGGGGAAGTATTTTGTAGACAGCAATAAAATAACTACAAATAACAACTAATTTCGCATTTTAAATCCTTTCTTAATCCTTTGTCAGCACCTCACACATCCTTGAGTCCCAGTTTTCTCTTAAAAACTTAAGTGCTTTAAAAATAATTAATTTAATTAGAAATTTATTCAGAGATTTCACTAAGGCCGTTAAGGTTATAGGTGGAGGTTAGGATTATTTCCATGTCAGTTTTGGGGTTAGGCAGTATAATATTTTAAGCCCTGCCCTTTTCTCCCTCTTTATTGACAGCCTCTGTTCATAAGGTAGTGTTTGGGTTGGAACTCTAACATTGAATCATCGTTATAAGCTGACGGTTCTTGTTTTTGCCAAAAATCATGTAGGTTTACAAATGAATGTAAAAATAGAAGATTGTTGTAGAAAATTGAAGCTGCCAACCTCGACAAATCTAAGCCGGTAGTTTTGCATTTCTTGGTGCAAGTGTCTCAAATTCAAATATGTAAATTGAAACTTAATTTACTTTGAATGTAGTTTTGTAGTTAGGTAGTTTAAGAAAGATAGTTTTTGTCTACTAGACGTGTATGGGCTTTTTGTCATCTTCAGTTCACTAAACCAGCGAATATAAACAGTCCAAAAAGACAGGAAATCAACAAACTACAGGTTTATTACCTCGCATACATAGTGTTTAAATAAAAATATCAAATAATTTATGTTTTGATGCAATATTATTAAAAAACAAATACACCAACAGAATCAGGTTAATTTTTTGTGTGAGTAACTCGGTATCAATAAGTTAAAATACAGGTGTCATTATGTCAGGATTAAAAAAAGGTTGCATCATAATTTTAGAAGAAAGTTTTAAACATAAACATTATATAATTATTTTAAAATTATTCATTATTTTCACTAATTTCGTGGTCCGTTTGACCAATTAATACTTTACAATTAATTAGAACTAGAGAAAAATGGCAAAAGGAGGGAAAACTCATAAGGTGGGATTGAGATGGGGAGTTGATGTCCGAGTGGATCGAGGTCACGATAGGTCAGGTGGTAGAGCAGCGGCGTATCTAGCCGAAGGTCGTGGGTTCGAATCCCTCTCGTGCCATTAACTTTTTTTCATCTCAACTAAAAACCTTAATTAATTGTC